AATTAACTTCAATTTTAAGACTGTATGAAGGAAGTTGTACTTTGTCTTTGCCCATAACTTCTTTCCAATCACAGAAAAATTATTTTACATAATTGCTCATATAATCACACTTGGTTCGATTTTATGCTTATTTTTGCAACAAAAGGGTCAGTCTGGTGTTAGCTTTACATATTAGCTTTTGTCTTTTAGTTATTTCTAAACATCTTGTAACATAAATTATTAAATACTCTTATTTGTATATTTTCATATATTTCAGCTATATTTTCAAAAAATAGAATGAAAATAGCTTTTTCTTTTTATTAATATTTTTTTACTCTATGTGAATCCACTTCCAGATTGGCTCCATGGTGGTGTCCAGACCTCTGCCCCAAACAGTAACCTACCACTACCTGTCGCTCACAGTTGGTCACTTGACTCTTGGATATATCTGCTCATCTAGTGAGCATGGATGATCACTACTTTTCAAACTGCACTGTGGGAGATTTTGAGTCGATTGCTTTTTCATCCACTAAATATTTGGTATATTTCGTGTAATAGGCGGAAAAGTTGCAGTTAATTCATGAAATTGCGTGTGCAACTGATAAGAGGTGCAACATGGTTTAGCTATGCCCCATTTAAATGAACAACCTGTGTTTCCTACCGGCTGTTTGAAATAGGCAGTAAAAAAGATAGGTCATAAGTAATACAATTATAATAATGACGAAAATTATTTAAGGTGAAACAAACAAACAAAAAAAAAAGATGAAGTAGAGGAGTTAAATATAAAATCTTAAACTCGAAACCTCTGCCCACTCCTTACATCACCTGCTTAACCCAATACATATTGGAAAAAAAAAAAAAAAACTGTAGAGCAATACTAATACAGCCCTTAACAGAATATTGAGGGAGAAAACAAAATCCCTCCAACCAAAGTTTAGGTTGAAGGGATTTTAATTTCAGGCACCCCTCCTTATTCTACTTTGCATTTTTTATAAACATGCTACAATATTTAAGTCACTGTGTTTTTCACTTTGGTTTAACTTGCATGACTATTTTTTTTTCTTTGCTTTCCCACGGCACAATCTGTGCCAGCCTGTGCATACATCTAATATTAATATAATTCTACTACTGATATTTTTGACAGTTAAGATAGGTTCACGTGTCCATTGTCTCTGTCATTGTACCATTGCCTCATTTGTAACCACAATGACTACAGACATTTTTGAGTGCTAATTCTGCACCCAACTTTCAGACGTAGTAAAAACAAACACAAAAAGTAAAGCAAAACTCTATAGACTTTTTTTCTAGTAGTCTGCGAAAAGCTCAATTTATTTCATTTTTTTTGCTTAATATTTGGATAAGATAAATTAACTAATGTTCTGAAGTAAATGTTAGTTTAGTCGACTGATGGCGGGTCCCAAAGAGCTTACATTCAAAAGACAAATTTAGGCCCTGTATCAGGTGGAATTTGAAACTAAAACATGTCTGAAGAATTGTTGATCAAGTATGTTTTGCAATGAAGTTGCAAAATAAATAAAAATATATATTAATGTATAATTCATAGTGTGTAAAACCACAGAAATAGTCATGCTTAACAGAGAAAATGCAAAGCGTAGTCTGCCAGATGATCTCCCTGCAAGTGACAAAGTCAACTTCACAGTCACCAAAGTAACAAATAAATTAATGACAGACAATTATCTTCCATTTCCTCATACGTTTTCCGTTTGTGTTTGTCTCTGACATTTTAGGAAACAGGCCTGTTTACCTTCTTGGCAGGAGTTAGAAGAAAAGATCGATTATCAATTTCATCTGTGTGTGTGTAGTGGAGATGAAGAATGTGTTTAGCCTTGCCTATCACACATTCAGGCTGCAGAGAGAAGCAGCATGGAGGCTGCAGTGGCATTTCAACAACTTCAAACCTACCATGCACACATGCTAAGCCGCAGATGGAATTATTTTCACTAAAGAAAATAACTAAATTCCCTTCTGATTTTGTTATTAAATAGTCGATCATTATGTTCAATATGTCTTTAGGTAAAAAGTTGCCGTATCCTTTTTATGCTAAATATTGTCCTTGAACAATACGTTTTCTGCATGCACAAAAGTGATCTGATATCAGTAAAACTCCTGGGAGGAAAGCAAAAAGAGGGATATTTTGAGAAATGTCAGGACATTCCTTTGAACCAAACAATCAAAAGACGTCCGTTTTATGCCTAATCCTCTGCGTATTTCAGCAGTTGCTGGCTTGATCTCGATTACGAGTGAAAAGTTTAAAACTCTGTCTGCCAGCCATTTGGGTTCCCTGCAGATCTTCAGGGCCACTACGGGTGCATTCTAATACCTTCCTGATCTGAGGGTAAATCACCTGAGAATTATCAGATCTTGAGGATTTCTGCATTTTTGTTTGGACTCAATTAGAGTAATATGTTACAGCTCTAAACACCGACGCCTTTTTGCTGTGGCCTTTTCTATGCCAAGGCAAATTGATTCTTACATATGCATCCAGGTGTGTCAAATGCACAGGGTGCAATTCATGAAAACATGGCAAACATCATTTTTGACATAAAACCTCTTGGATAAATCAATAAATAAATGTGTGTGGTTTTACACAGCAATCAAAGCTGTTTCTACAGCTATTGATACAAAGATCGGGAAACTTACAACTATGTAAAAAGCAGGTACAATAAAGGGTATTCCTATGCTATTCTAAAAAGCAGTGGTTTAAAGAGATGATATTGCTATTATTATTTGCTTAAAAATCTAATGTTTCAATATATTCAAACAAAACCCTAAATGTCTTTGTGGGGAAAATAGTTTGAATACTGGAAACACCTGAGTGTCATCCTTTCTGCAGCATGCGTTGGGATTCATTTACAATAACAGTGTTCTATTTACACAATAGCATTTTTTGGCTCTTGGTATCAAGTTGTCTTTCATGTAGAAGAAACTATAATTTCATGAACTCATCCCTCTTCCTGCATTTAAACATTATGTCTCATGTTTAACATATCTCTACTCAATAAATATGAAAGAAATATATATGAGCACATATCATATTTACTTCATTCTGCATATGTAATTTGGGTTTACCAAGACAAATGCCTGTGATTTCCTTTTATGTGCTAAATTATATGTTGATTAGATAAAGGGCATATGCTTGGATCTATTAGTGCATGTATTTTCATGCATATAGAGCTGTGTGTCAGTACATTTTCTTGATTTATGTGTTTCAACAGAAAATCCTCAGCAGCCTTTATAATCTGATCTCATACAACAGAAACTAAATTCAAGTGCAAATGCATAAATATACTAGGGGATCCTTAATGTTTCTCTATACTGGGTTACTTGTACTTCTAATACAATTGACACAAATGTACTTATTTGTACAGTCATGTTTATCATTTTTTTGTTTCTAAATAAATAATTTAAGAGATGCATCATTCCACTGTCTTATAATTCAGACCAAAGCTCATCTGTTTATGATGGTCTTGCAATCATATTGTTCTAAACCGTTTCAGAAATGTCTCATCAGGTCAGGGATTGGGTTTCCTAGGCTACGTTCACGCAGCAGGTCCTGATGCTCAATTTTGTTTTTGTTTTTCTGAAATCTCATCCTCTTGGCGTTTTCTTTTAATGCTATTGATTAAATGTGACCGCTATCATACTTCAGTCTCAGTGGTTCAAGACATCAAAGTGACCCACAGGAACGGAAGAAGAATGTATACATTACGAAGCAGCACACCGTTCACAGAAGTAATAATGAATGCGACTGTCACTGGGAATTTTCAATAATATTAAGCTGAAAAAAAAAAGACCCAAAGTGGGTGCTGGTGTCTTTGTGTTGTTATTATAAACCTCTTGAGCTGTGGGAGCTGACAGTATAATGCCCACATCATTAACAAAGAAAGGAGGTAAGAAAAAACAGCTCAACTACTATTAACAAGCAATCAGTAACTGCTGCAGAGAAGTCTGTGTGGATGTGCAGTATGTGCCTTGGCCTTGATTTAAACATTGGACTAAATATGAAGTAAATGTTTGGACAGCAAATACGCTTAAAAAACAATAGTATATGTACCCAATTCAGTATCACCTATGGAACCGGCTCATATTAGATTTTTTTGAAAGGAAAATGTTCAGAATTTGCCGTTCAGAATACTGTGAAAACGTCTGATATGATTTTTGCAAAAAGATCACATTTTCCTGTAGCGGATGTTAGCCTTTGTTTAACCTCAAGGAACTATTTCAATTATGCTCCACCTATGTACCTTGGACACAAGGCTTTACCGTTACAGATTTTTCCCAAAATGTTAAATGCAATAGGCAATCGGCTTAGGTGGCACCCATTTAACCTATTCTTAATTTTCAATCCTTCAAATGTCATCTTTAGCATTTAAAATATACTTTTCAATACCAAAATAATAGAAATGTTGCGAATCCATCCATTCATTTATCCATCCATTATCTACGATTGCTTGTCTATAAAAAGCCTATCCCTACCTTACATTGGGTAAGAGGCACGACACATGTTGAACAGAACATTAGTCTGTCACAGGGCACCACAAAAACATAGAGGACAAACAACAAGCAAAGTTAAAGGCAATTTAAAAAATCCATATAATCTAAAAAATTACAAATTTTTAGATTTTTTTAAATGTTCAAAGTGGAAGAATATAAACAAATTTTGAAGAGATTTAAAAAACAAAGGAAAAAAATAATAGCAAAAGTGGCGTTCCGAAGACATTACTCTACTAAGTTTAAAAAGAATGATATGCGTAAGATCATTTTACCACATAGAATGAGAATGATTCAAAAACATGATAAATCAAATCTTAAATCAAATAAATAAGCTGGCCTAAAAACCCTAAAGCAAATTTCAAGGTATTTCTGTATGTATAATGTCTTAACTTCTCTGTTAATTGGGAATAAAAATAAAGAAAAATAGTGGAAGCAAATTAGCCACAAAACTACAAAATACCACTTTAATAATCCAGCAATATATAATGTCTTATTCAGGAACTTACCAGGTTTAATTTGAGCTCCATGTTAAGGACCCCACCGCTGTCTAAAACAGGCATCAGGTTGATGGCAAACACAGCAGCCCGGTCTGGTGGAATGGAGATGTTTGGACCAAAGAAGACGTAGAAGTGCACAGAGAAGGTATCCAGTTCGTTACGCAGGGTTGGGCGAATGGGCCAGCATTTGTTGGTGTCTGCTGTCGGGGGAAGGTAAATGATGCTGTCCTCCGAGGTGTGCAGGTGACTTGCATTGTGAGAGAGGGAGGGCAGTGAGGCCATGAGCAGGGTGTCAGACAGGGAGAACCCCATTGCTGTTCCAAAAGACTGAGGCATGTTCATGGAGGAACTGGACTGTGCTCGCTCCTTTGATGAACTCGGTTTAGAGCAATCTGATTAGGAGAAGATACAAGTTTCAAAAGATTACAAACTAAGCACATTATATTATAAACTAAGTCTCATTAAAACCCCAAAATTCAGAATATGTGAAGTACAGGTGCTGCTCATAAAATTAGAATATCATGAAAAAGTAGATTGATTTCAGTAATTCCATTTAAAAAGTGAAACTTGTATATTATATTCATACATTACATACAAACTCATATATTTCAGATGTTTATTTTGTTTAATTTTGATGATTACAAATGACAACAAATGAAAATCTCAAATTCATCATATCAGAAAATTAGAATATTACTGAAGACCAATAAAAACAAAGGATTTATAGAAATGTTGGCCAACTGAAAAGTATGAACATGAAAAGTATGAGCATGTACAGCACTCAGTATTTAGTTGGGCCTCCTTTGGCCTGTATTACTGCAGCAATGCGGCGTGGCATGGAGTCGATCAGTCTGTGGCACTGCTCAGGTGTTATGATAGCCCAGGTTGCTCTAATAGTGGCTTTTAGCTCTTCTGAATTGTTGGGTCTGGTGTATTGCATCTTCTTCTTCACAATACCCCATAGATTTTCTATGGGGTTAAGGTCAGGAGAGTTTGCTGGCCAATTAAGAACAGGGATACCATGGTCCTTCAACCAGGTACTGGTAGCTTTGGCACTGTGTGCAGGTGCCAAGTCCTGTTGGAAAATGAAATCTGCCTCTCCAAAAAGTTGGTCAGCTGCAGGAAGCATGAAGTGCTCTAAAACTTCCTGGTATGTGGCTGCGTTGACCCTGGACCTCAGAAAACACAATGGACCAACACCAGCAGATGACATGGCACCCCAAACCATCACTGACTGTGGAAACTTTACACTGGACTTCAAGCAACGTGGATGAAGTGCCTCTCTTCTTTTCCTCCAGACTCTGGGACCTTGATTTCCAAAGGAAATGCAAAATTTACTTTCATCAGAGAACATGACTTTGGACCACTCACCAGCAGTCCAGTCCTGTTTCTCTTTAGCCCAGGCAAGACGCTTCTGACGCTGTCTGTGGTTCAAGAGTGGCTTGACACAAGGAATGCGACAGCAGAAACCCATGTCTTTCATACGTCTGTGTGTGGTGGTTCTTGAAGCACTCACTCCAGCTGCAGTCCACTCTTTGTGAATCTCCCCCACATTTTTGAATGGGTTTTGTTTCACAATCCTCTCCAGGGTGCGGTTATCTCTCTTGCTTGTACACTTTTTTCGACCACATCTTTTCCTTCCCTTCGCCTCTCTATTAATGTGCTTGGACACTGAGCTCTGTGAACAGCCAGCCTCTTTAGCGATGACCTTTTGTGTCTTGCCCTCCTTGTGCAAGGTGTCGATGGTCGTCTTTTGGACAACTGTCAAGTCAGCAGTCTTCCCCATGATTGTGTAGCCTATAGAACTAGACTGAAAGACCATTTAAAGGCTTTTGCAGGTGGTTTGAGTTAATTAGCTGATTAGAGTGTGGCACCAGGGGCCATCAATTTTGAACCTTTTCACAATATTCTAATTTTCTGATATGATGAATTTGAGATTTTCATTTGTTGTCATTTGTAATCATCAAAATTAAACAAAATAAACATCTGAAATATATGAGTTTGTATGTAATGTATGAATATAATATACAAGTTTCACTTTTTAAATGGAATTACTGAAATCAATCTACTTTTTCATGATATTCTAATTTTATGACCAGCACCTGTATAATCATTGAAGTGGAAGATATTTTTAATAAAAGTTTTTTTACAATTGTAATTTCAAGTGTTTTGTTCTTTTGATATTTAATTGTTTTTAATCTATTTGGTCTAAAACCTCGAGGACCCCACAGACAACTTTCATCTAACAAATAAAAAACAGTATAGTACAAATGTAGACCTGCAAAAATGTAGCTTACATCTAAACTAACAGGCCTAACCAAGAGAGCATTGATGAGACAAGCAGGTGAGGATCTAAAGTAGCGCTGCAGAGATACACAGCAGGAGAATTTGTTAATAACAAACCTAGGGAAAGCTAGCCTTTAAAGACAGAGGCAGGAAGGAATCATTTGTTGGATAAAAGCTGAAAGATAATACATTCAGTTAAAATTGCAAACAAGAACACGAAACAAACACTGAACTTACTGTCCTAATTGAAAAAAAATAAAAATGCACATTGCCATGAATATCATTGTGGCATATCAGCAATGTTTATCAAGGTATTTATATTTATTTGAGTATGTACAAAGAAAACTGTGCTACAGTACACCCAATTAAACCATTGTCCTGCCAAAAGGTAATCTCCCAGCTCCTATCCCTGGTCATGTTTAATCTTTAATACAAAGAAACATTTCTAAAATAGACATAAAATAAGAACCTCAATCAAGGTTTAAACCTGTAAAACTATTCTTACAAAGAAATTAATCAACAAACAGTAAAATAGGCTTTCTGTTAAAAAAAGGTGCTGAGTAAGTTGTTATGGTTTTAGTTCTTACTTTTTAATAAAATTTCACATGAGACTTAAAGGTTCTAAGGCAAATTAATCCTTTGAAAATTGGTCGTAAAGGATTGGAAGTATGTGGTCTTTTATTTGAGACAGATGATTTCCAAAATAATGTTTTGCATCTTATTTAATAGTCTCTACTTACACTTCTCTGTGGGATAAATCCTGCTCCGTGTGGGGGCTTTGATATTACTTGACAAATCACCTCTGAGGTAAGATTATAAGCCGGAAAGTAATTTTTTTAAAAAGACAAATGTGAAAAAAAATAATCTAAGCTTAAAAGATCATACTTTTTCAGGACTCTAACAATGATGCCACTTCTCTGTCTTTTCATTTAAATTTTCTGTGCTCATTTGTACAAGGACATTACAGACCTAAAGGATTTACACAATAAGAAAAGTGTGACAAAACAAAGTGTGCAATATAATCAGCAGGATGTAAAGGCAAGTTGCTGGAACGTTTTTCTTCGGCATGGACAGGGTTGATGGTCAGAGTGGAAAGGAAAATGGATTGAGCCAATTACAACAAATCCTTTTAGTATCTGAGGCAAAGCTTTAAAAAGTGATGTCACTTTACTCTGGTATGGCAGGGTATGAGCTTTATAGCTAAAAGGAATTTGGTGGGGTCAAAAAATAAATAAATAAACAGGCCGTAGGAAAAGCTGTGATAGTAAAGAAATTGATATATGGATAGATTAATATTGCATTAGAAATAGTTCCATACAATTTTTTTACACTACTTGATTTATCTGATAACAATAAAATACAGTAAAGTATACAGTATATGGTTTTAATGTGAAACAAAAACAAAAAAAATACAAATACATTCAAAGTAACTCTTATATAAGTGCAACATTTAGACATCATTTTACTGGCTAACGTCAAAACCTTTACAGTACTACATTTTATCTAATAAAGCAATTAATTGAATGACAATTTAAAACAGAGAAAAAAAGCTGAAAAATGACTCATTCTGTGAAGAAACCAAATCCTTTAAAATGTTTAAAATGATTGCCTTCAGCTGTCTTCCAGAGCAGCAGACTGCTCCTTAATGAGACATAGATTCACTGTAATTGCAAACAGTGTGCTCCCTTTAAACATAAAGCAACTCACTACAAAATGGTCATTGATGACAACTGGCAGAGAGGCATCAAATACCAGCAGTCCTCGAGGGAAAGGCATTTGTCAAAGGATTTTCTAGCTCAGCCTTGTTTGCATGCTTTTGTCTGATAAGGAGCGTGAAGATTCTGACGTGTGTTAGAAAAGCAGCACACCTAAAAATACCAAACAACCTATGCTCTACAAAATAGTAAACAGCAATATGCAGAATATAACAAATGAATATGTTAGTGTGCTGCATGTGTGGGTGGCTAGACAAAGAAGGATTGCAACCATATGTTTTATGATATCAATAATTGAAAAGAATGTCTTTATTGTGCTTTCACAGATAGCATAACACATGATCCCTGTTCCGCGTCCAATCACCCAGGGCGAGACACCTGCAGTGAAAAAGCTCCACACAACAATAATGAATAATAAATCATAACCTAGTTTTTCTGCACTGTCTAACCAGCAACTTTTACTCTTAAACTGGGAAGTATTCAAATAAGGCTGCATATTTCTCTTTCGGATGCACTTAACAACAAAAATTCATGTTATCAAGCAAAGGGCGAGGAAGTAAGGACTCCAGATGGTCTCCCTCTGAACCTGAGGTGTTCTTCAATTCAAATCCGCAAAAGGTCAAGTAAGATCTGGCTGCCAGGCAGGAGGAGAGACAGAGTGTGAATAATTAGTGTCTGTGTTACCATGGTCACAAAGTGCATGGTAAGTCGTGGAACAGAGGGAGAGAATCGCTACATACTGTAGGAGTGGACTTCCCACAGATTTGTAAGCCATCCCTTGTAGATGATGCATATGAAATATCCTGAACTCCATCACAGCATGTAGTAGCCCGCCGTGGATTCATCATCCTTTTCCCAGTCGTTGCTACGTCACCCAAAGCGCTGTTCTTAAACAAGGCTCTTTGTTGTCTAAAGGAATCTGTCCTTTAGTTTTCCAACTAAAACATGTCTAAAATCAGCCTATAACCTTCAAAAACCTTATAAAAACCTGTTTTTCTGTGACTGTTCTATCATACATCCTTGTGTAATCATTAATGAGCACTAATTGATGTTTTTATTGCTTCTAATATCATTGATTATAATGATGTAGAGACAACCGGAGTCTTTCAGAATTCATTACTCAGGTAAATATCAGAAATTTGTCACTACATTTTGATGAGAGCATTAAAAAATATGTTATTTCTTTTTATTTTTTATGCTGGTGTTTCTGCTTCCTGGATGGGGGCTGCACTGATGGTTGCTTCCAAAGAAAACATACATTTCTCAAAATTATCATATCTAAATTTCTTATGTTGTTTCTTAAATTTTAACTAAGTTGTTTAAAACTTACAGGGACTACATTAAAAAGCCATTCAACACTAAAGAAGAGCTTTCTCTAAAAACATGCTGCTTTGATAGCAGCACAGATGATTTAACATTAATGGTAGCTTTATATATGTGCCCATTCAATGAGCACTTCAGCCCACTTCTGCTTTGACACACTTTCATGCTTGGTCAACATCATTTTGCATCCATTTTTTATCACTTTGAGAAACACTTTACAACCAATGTGTAATATACAGATGGCTGGTCTACAGATACAGTGGAGCATTACTTGTATTCGCTCAGTAGTATTATGCACCAGTTCCGATTGTGAATCCCAGCAGGAAGACATCTCACAATACTCCCGTGCTTAATAACAATGAGCTTTCTCACCCTTGAGAATAAAATCTAAATGGAGAAAAATGCTACGCCTTCATGAGAACTTTAAAATTTACATTAATGTATATTATTTTAAAAAATTACAAAACACAGTTTAAGACCTTTTTTTATTTACTAGGAAAATTAATTTCTGATTTGAAATTTGAGTCTACATTTTTTTTTTTTTTTTTTTATGTACCTTTTCTTTCCAGGAAAAAAACTTCATCAATGAGGATAACTACAGGTGCTGGTCATAAAATTAGAATATCATGAAAAAGTAGATTGATTTCAGTAATTCCATTTAAAAAGTGAAACTTGTATATTATATTCATACATTACATACAAACTCATATATTTCAGATGTTTATTTTGTTTAATTTTGATGATTACAAATGACAACAAATGAAAATCTCAAATTCATCATATCAGAAAATTAGAATATTACTGAAGACCAATAAAAACAAAGGATTTATAGAAATGTTGGCCAACTGAAAAGTATGAACATGAAAAGTATGAGCATGTACAGCACTCAGTATTTAGTTGGGCCTCCTTTGGCCTGTATTACTGCAGCAATGCGGCGTGGCATGGAGTCGATCAGTCTGTGGCACTGCTCAGGTGTTATGATAGCCCAGGTTGCTCTAATAGTGGCTTTTAGCTCTTCTGAATTGTTGGGTCTGGTGTATTGCATCTTCTTCTTCACAATACCCCATAGATTTTCTATGGGGTTAAGGTCAGGAGAGTTTGCTGGCCAATTAAGAACAGGGATACCATGGTCCTTCAACCAGGTACTGGTAGCTTTGGCACTGTGTGCAGGTGCCAAGTCCTGTTGGAAAATGAAATCTGCATCTCCAAAAAGTTGGTCAGCTGCAGGAAGCATGAAGTGCTCTAAAACTTCCTGGTATGTGGCTGCGTTGACCCTGGACCTCAGAAAACACAATGGACCAACACCAGCAGATGACATGGCACCCCAAACCATCACTGACTGTGGAAACTTTACACTGGACTTCAAGCAACGTGGATGAAGTGCCTCTCTTCTTTTCCTCCAGACTCTGGGACCTTGATTTCCAAAGGAAATGCAAAATTTACTTTCATCAGAGAACATGACTTTGGACCACTCACCAGCAGTCCAGTCCTGTTTCTCTTTAGCCCAGGCAAGACGCTTCTGACGCTGTCTGTGGTTCAAGAGTGGCTTGACACAAGGAATGCGACAGCAGAAACCCATGTCTTTCATACGTCTGTGTGTGGTGGTTCTTGAAGCACTCACTCCAGCTGCAGTCCACTCTTTGTGAATCTCCCCACATTTTTGAATGGGTTTTGTTTCACAATCCTCTCCAGGGTGCGGTTATCTCTCTTGCTTGTACACTTTTTTCGACCACATCTTTTCCTTCCCTTCGCCTCTCTATTAATGTGCTTGGACACTGAGCTCTGTGAACAGCCAGCCTCTTTAGCGATGACCTTTTGTGTCTTGCCCTCCTTGTGCAAGGTGTCGATGGTCGTCTTTTGGACAACTGTCAAGTCAGCAGTCTTCCCCATGATTGTGTAGCCTATAGAACTAGACTGAAAGACCATTTAAAGGCTTTTGCATGTGGTTTGAGTTAATTAGCTGATTAGAGTGTGGCACCAGGGGCCATCAATTTTGAACCTTTTCACAATATTCTAATTTTCTGATATGATGAATTTGAGATTTTCATTTGTTGTCATTTGTAATCATCGAAATTAAACCAAATAAACATCTGAAATATATGAGTTTGTATGTAATGTATGAATATAATATACAAGTTTCACTTTTTAAATGGAATTACTGAAATCAATCTACTTTTTCATGATATTCTAATTTTATGACCAGCACCTGTATGCTGTGGGTCCTTCGGTAAGAGGAGGTATCTTAGAATGTAACAGAAAATAAATAAATTGCAACATTATCCTTATTTTGCCACAATACCATTAACTTGCATTTGATTTTTTTTATCCATAAAAAACAAGGTGCATATCAGTTAGAATAAGCTGCTGTTATTTGTTTTCATTTTTTTCTTACAAACTGTGAATCACAGTTTAGGGCAGATTAACTTAAAACTTCTGTTGCATTTTGTGGAGGAAAAGTATTTTAGGAGCAAAACAGGGTTTATCATATGTAAATAAATCCCTAAGTGACTGATTGGTGCCCTTCCACTTTAGCTTATCATATAACAAAGATTTTTTTTTTTTTTCTATCCTCATAAACCTCTTTATGAGTGCAGCCCAAATAAATGCACTTAAGGACAACCAGCCAATTGGGGGACAGTTGCAGGTGTAAAAATATGGATGACTGCCAAATATGGGTACTAAATATGAGCAGAGGTGAATGGCAACGGATTACGGTTACTTTTGTGAGCCAAAAAAAAATAATCTGTGAAATTTTACTGCACCTTTTAGGTAGTTTTACATTAGGAATATTTTAAAGTATTGCTACTCCTATTTGGGAACAACCTTTTGCTGGTGAGCTCATTGTGTACGTATAACAACTTTTTTAGTGGATCATACACAGAAAGTAAGTAAGGTTTCTTTATGTAACACTTTTCTCAGACAAGCATCACATAGTTCTGTACAATATGATGCATAGAATACAAAACAGCACCATATAAAATACATATAGGGCAAAATAAATAAAATAATAGCATGAGGCATAAAATACAAAACAGCACCATATAAAATACATGTAGACAAAATAAATAAAATCTTAGCAGCCACATCCACACAGTTACTGATAATCGAACATTTCTAGTATGTTAAAAAGTTTTTTTGGTTTAATAATATTTACTATCTGCAGAGCCTCTTTTGCCATTTAGAGGGCATGTCAATATAGTAAATCTCCTCTGGCAGCAATTTTGCACAGTTAAACGTTTTTTTATTCCTGTAGATGTAGGTTTGAGAATCTTTATGTTTAAATTTATAATTTTACATTACTTGATAAAAGCATGTTTTACACAATTTTCCTTTTCTTGTTTTCTTTATTCTAAATATAAATCCAATAAGATTCATAAGTTGCTGTATCACCTCTGTAGGAAATCAGCATGCTTTAAGACAAAAAGCTCTGGTAGTTAGATAACAATGTTTAGTTGCTCAACCAAACATGTATATTTTAAAGAATTTTCTGCAAGGAATTCATAAAGTAATTCTTATTCTTATATAGTTCCCATATTCCCATTTTTCTTAATATACATCATAGTCACTGTAAAAAGGCCACATTGTGTTCATTGTAAAATACTAACTGACATACTGTAGCTCCAAAGGAAATCATAAAACAATTACAGGCTCTACAATAAGAGGGGGAAAAAAACATAGCTTATTCACATCTATTCATGCTGATTATGCTCACCTGTCACTTGCACGCCGATGCGAAAGTAGACGTCGGAGTTACTCAGATACCTCTCAACAAGGATGTAGTACCATTGCTCCCAGGCAGGTACGAGGGTGACTAATTCACACGGGTTCCATTCCCTGCAGTCAAGGGCACTCGAGTTGTGCACCGGCGGCGCCTGCGCTCTCATCTTCAGCACCACAGGACAAGTGTCGCTGCTTTTGTTTTTGGTGCTGCAGTTCACCAGCTGAACCTTTACCTTCGATACATAATTAGGAATGAAAACCCTGCACAGATACAAACAGAGATACAGTTTTTATGTGTTATATCAAACTCTGACTAATAGTACAGAATCTGTATGTTCTGTCTGGAGAAAAAAAAATTTGAATAAATTAGAGTCTGTTAGATAGAAAAAGATGCATACAATTGTTTAGATGAAAAGAATGATCATATTTATGCAAGCTGGTACTCATCGTATGTCTTGTCTTTCTGATGTTACTTCACCTCTCAAAACAAAAAAGCTGCAGCTGTTATTAATATGAAAGGGACATGGCTCAACAAATGAATTCATCAATGTTATTAAAGGTGGTTCAAAGCTTCAGACTGTACCTGTAATTAATTTTAGATCTTAATTTTGATTCTCACTCTAAATCTTGAGAACAATGCAATCAACAAAGAGGGATTAATGTGAAAAATTAATGAACTCTTATGTGATCTTTAAATGCAATGGAATTAAAAATGAAATGAGGTAAACAACCTTTTAAAAACTGTGATAAGCCAGCACAAAAAGCAGTTTTATTAATGCTTTAAAATCCCAAAAAAACATACTTATTAAATTTTTTTTCAAGTACATGGTTTGCACTTATTAGAAAAATGAAGAGTTCTGTCTTCAATTCTCTGTTAAAAATGTACTTCTGAGCTAACTCAGATAAGCAGAGTCTGTGCAATTGTCTCCTTTAGTTATTTCATAGCTGTAGTAAATCCTATATATTGTCATCTACTGTTTAAGGAGGGGTTCCAATGAGTAAAGCATGATGATAATTATAAAATTCAATCCATTTGCAATGCACTAGTATATTCTTGCAAGATCCATTTCATTCTCTGTCCTGAGCCAGGAACTTGAATTGGTTTTCAATGACAAAGCACCAGTAAATTACATCAGCAAATCAATCAAAACAAGAAGATGCCGCTGGTTTCAGCAGCCTTGAAACACCAATTTAGTGCTGATAAAGAGGGATGGTGGCTTCTTTTATAATCTCGGGGAAGCACAAAAAAATCTAAGACCATAGCAGATGTTTTGGTTAGTTACATAGTCGGATTTCCAGAAGTCTGATTTTACACAATACTAAGGAGAAAAGATTTAAACATTTAAGAGTATCTGATTGCACAATACTAAAAATATCCTCATTTTTTAGGAGCTTTGACTGTGGTATAAAAAGGAAGCATCCATTAATCTCTTTTATTCATCTATTGAAAATATCATGCACTGGAAAATAAAACCCTTTGTATCTAAAAAAAAATAGGGACTTCTTTCAAATTCCCTGTGACCTTGATAGAACTTTTAATAGATCAGGATTGTTTTTCTGCCACAGAAATAAAAGGATTCTCTTAATGGTCAAATAAAAAAATAGGGAACTGTTTTGGCAGATTTTTAATCTCGTGTGATTAAAAAGCAAATGACCAAACAGCTAAAATGAGTTTTAAAATGTGTATCATTGATAAATATAAAATGTAGGTCATTGATAAAAACCCAGCCTTGTATCGTTAAAGAGGATAAAAAACTTTGCGTGATACAGTGTTTGAAAATAACTCTAGTGCAGAAAAGGCAGCTGGACACTCTTTGGAATTGTGACTTAAGAAACACTTACTTGTAAAGTGCTGATCTGTTATGGATTGGAATCATCTGATCAATAAAGTACCCAGGATAAAGTACGGAAATTCCAATCAGCTTCTGGACAATGAGTTGAGGCTGGAACAGATATTGGCATTCCTCAGACAGACCCTGAAACGACATCCCACCGACAGTTTTAGTCAGTATTTCAGTGGTTTTCTCATTAATATTCCTCTAAACCTGGTAAAGAGAAGATTAGGTATCATTCAGAGAGGCCAAAAATTCTCTAATGGACTGTGTGCATTAAGCTTGTCAGCCTCCTGGATTAATATGACTCTGTCCTCCTCCTCTCTGCTGCACAGCGAAGCATGCACACCCACTATTTCATTTGTGTTGCTCTGAACCATTAATGCTATGAGATGAGCCAAGCACGGAGAATGACTTAAAAGCCAGGAGACCGTGCGTTGTTTTCACACACAATCTGCTCAGAAATGCTTTTGGAAAAAGAATACCAGAATTCAAAAGGACAGGTGTGAATGGAAAATGAGGTCCTACATTCCTGTCATCTGATCACTACCCCTCTTGAGCATATAAGCAACAATTACTGACCGTGTCATTACTCCAAGAGCTACCAGGGTGACCTCTTGATTTATTACAGCCCGTCTTCTCAACCAGCAGCAAATGTCTTCTACAGTAAGCTGGGTTTTAATTAAGACTCATTCATTATGGATTTTTAAAGCCTGCTTCTTTTGGATGGTTTTAGGTTTAACAGTTTTAAATTTGACAATCTACACCCGAACAGATATAAGCAGAGTTGTTTATTCTGTGCAGATTTTTTTTTCTTTTTTTGCTTTCTTAAATCCATTAGAGCCCTGAAGAACGAGAACTCCCCACTGAAATCCTGCCTAATTGCATTATTCTAACGCCTTCATTCAGACATGCTCACGGCGGCTTTGCGTTTTCAGGGTCAACTCTAGGGTATACAGTGAGTTTCCAAGCTGTTTATCAGCCTCACCTGAGCAATCTCATGCAACAGTGCTGAAATGAATGCAACCTTAAACATCTTTGTTAAACTTACTGCTTACATAAATTCTACTGTTTGTAATAGACTACTGCTTCTTGGCTTCTGATGGGACTTTACAGCCGGGAAGCCCGAAATAAAAAGACCTTTTTAATTCATCAGTGTGTGAACATCTTAACAGTGAGCAGCTGTTTAAATAGATTTCTTCCATTTTGTGGAAATAACATTTACACCTTATTACACAACATAAATACCTCTAAAACGGTCTATGCACAAAGTATGAATGGGGCATTACATTTTAGGGTTTTACAAACTTGTTCATCCACTGAACACAGGCAGCATATATATGTTTGCTATTATAGGTTTTGTTAAAGAGCCTCATGCTTTCATAAATTTGACATCCATTCCTGCATTTGGGCAGATGTGAATAATCCAGGCCCAGAAAGTAAAAAGCTGTTACAGAGATTAGTTCCAACAATTTGCATTTTCAGCTCCACAAAACATACTGGTGGGGAACAGGATGAAGGGAAACTAGGCAAGGTTTTTACATTCTGGACCTGGTCTACGACGTCTCAGCAGTTTTGATATTAAAAACTCAAAGGCCAACGTCACACAATAGGTGATGATGGAGCAGAGAGAACTGCAATCGAAATTCAGAACTTCCTGCTCTTTTCAAGGATTGGACTTTTTGGCTTGGGTCTCTTGGAGAGTTTGTTGTTATAGCTTTAATACGTAAAGGCCTTCCATTTCAGTCTACCTTATCTATCATAAAAGAGTTATCTTGGTAAGTAATTTATTGTCTAACCATATCATAAGAGCAACATATTTTGTGCATTAAAAAATAAAAAAGCATACTAAACTATCTCTCATGTTGGTTTAAACTACCTCTCATGGTTTTGCAGTAATTCTTTCGTCACTCTGTCGACCTGGTTTGTACCTCTACACCATCTGTCATTGGGGCATATACATTTATGTTATTGTAAGCGATTAGTCTATTGTTGCACCCTTCAAAATAAAGTTTTGCCCCCTGCTTTGAAGTGAGAAACCGATCATTCTTGGAGTTTGCTTGCTGGCAAACAACATACCGTATTTTCACGACTATAAGGCGCACTTAAACGTCTTTTTTTTTCCTCAAAATGTGCGGTGCGCCCTATGGTGCGGTGCGCCCTATGTGTGTTGTAACTGCGACTTTTGAGACCACCTCATTGAGGAGATGATGAAAGAGTGGCTGAATGTAAGGAGACCAGGTGTTTTTTTTTCCACCCCTCACCATCGCTGTTAATATGTAACTCCATGCGTGCCCATCTCACAGCTGATGTGAAAAACATGGGGAAACAAATTAACGCTGTGCTCCCTGTTCAACCGCTCGACATCGGTGTGAACCGGACCCAGCAGGTGCAGCAGAAGCAGCGAGTTTACATGCAAAGTCAATGGTTGACGCGCGTATAGGTGCAGCAAAAGGTCCCGCAGCGCATTTTGGTGCAGCACGTCGGGAGCGTTTAAGCATCTGACGCACCGCCAACGCGCTGCTGCTGCTCAGATGGAAAAATTGAAGTTTTGCTGCTGGACGCGCCGCATCAACCAATCAGAGAAGCTGATCTGGGAGCTGACAGCGAGACACAGCGCTCTGATGATATTAACGCAAATGAAAAGGCTGGATGAATGAGGAGATGATGAAAGGCAGGTGTATGTGAGGAGACTAGGTGCTTTTTTCCACGCATCACCATCGCTGCGTGCCCATTTCACAGCCGATGTGAAAAAAAGATGAATCAAATGAACGCTGTGCTCGCCGTTATCCCGGGGGTCTGACAAAGGAACTTCCACCGCTCGACATCGGTGTGACGCGCCCGTTCAAAGTAAGGCTGCGAGCGGCGTGGGAGCGATGGATGACAGACGGAGACCACAGTTTCATGATAAATGGAAGGCAGCGCCGGGCAAGTTACGCCACCGTTTGCGGATGGATTGTAGATGGACTGTGTCTGCTGGCTCTGTTCTTCAAGCTTTCGCAAAAGCCGGCATTATTTCTGAGGAGCTGCGCTGCACGGAAAGTGACTCTGACAGCGCAGAAGGGGAAACTAGCATGTCTGATTTAGCGCAGCTGTTTTATTCAGAGGAATGCTGAGGATAACAGAGGATGATGACTTTGATGGGTTTGATTAATACTTTGTAATAAATACATGAATAAAGCACAATCATACTCAGTTTTGCTCCCGCTCTATTTTTCTACCTGAAAACTTAATTCAACAGCAGCCTGTGGGCGCGTCTCCTCCTCTTCAGCGCGGCGGCTGGCAGGTGTTTTTTTTTCATCTAAATAATCTAAATCTTGCAGCTATATTTGCTGTGATCAGTGGGAATAAAGTAGTTTTAATATGTTTTTAAGTGAGAAAGGCCACCTGAAAACTTAATAATTGCAGTCAGTTCATCCAGATTATCTATTTCTGTCGGAGGCGCTCAGACCCCCACATACCAGCGGTGCGCCGACAGGAGAAATCCTTTCGTTCACCGCGGCTGCTGGCAGGTGTTTTTCATCTAAATAATTTTAGCTGCAGGCACCAGGATACCGGTAATAAAAGCGAACATATTCCGTCGGCAGGTTTCAGGATTTTAAGTTAATTTAGGAGTGACCACAGCGCTGTGTCATCTGCGATGTGTCTGTCTCACGGCCAGCTGTATTGATTAATACTTTGTAATAAATACATGAATAAAGCACAGTCATACTCAGTTTTGCCCCCGCTGTATTTTTAAATACGCAGTAGAGGTATTTAAAGGTAGTAGAGGACATGTACCTGTATATAAAAAACGCGCCCTATAGTCCGGTGCGCCTTATGTGTGTGTTAAATACAGAAATGGGACACATAACTGAGAGTGCGCCTTTTAGTCCGGTGCGCTTTATGGTCGTGAAAATACGGTACCAACTACTCTAAGTTTTATCTTGTGTTTTCTTCTATGTACTAAAATCTTTCCTCAATCACTTTCTCTTACAGCTCACTTTGAAGGGTTTAATGGAAACATAGTCAGTGCTTTTCAAAAGAATCAGTAAATCACAGATTTTCTCACTAAAATCTCTCATATATGAATCACTTATGTGGACAAAAAAATATATATATATATATTATTTTTCAGAACATCTATCAGTTTTTAAATGGATTAATATTGACAGTCACTAGAAAATACTAAGATAATACACTAAAATGCAGCAAGTGTAAAAGTTAAACTGATAAAAGCAGCCTAGGTTAACTGATACTTTTCTTTGTTCCTGGAGCAGCTATCTCAATACTGCTACACTGAAAGTCACAATACTGATACATTAAAGGAAAAGACAAAGACTTCAGATTTTTTGTAGTTTTTTGCTTTTTGAAACTTGTGTTAAGAGAAAATAGACAGTAAAAGATAGATAATAGACTAAATAGGTAATAATGATTTTAAACATCTTAATTTTCTATTCCATTAGTTTCTTAATTTTACATTGAATAATTTTTCAAAAAGTATAGAGCAGTAATAGTGATAGTAGAGGAACTTTAACATATAATGATATAATATTCTCTTCTTTTTTTCTATTTTGTGAAGACAAACTAGTGTTTCTCACAATATTTTAATTATCATTTCAGATCAAAGAGGTTGGAAGATATTATTGATAAGTTATCGAAAATGTGACTTTAAAAATAGTATATTCACAAAATAAGTTTTCTACATAAATATGAAAGTTTGTCAAGTCATTTTAACATCATCTTAAAAAAATGTTGCAAAGCGGAGCTGCAAATGTCATTTCTAATTGCAAGTAAAAGATAGGGGTGTGGGAAAAAATCGCTTTGACAATATATTGTGATTTTCAGCTGCCTGATATAATATCGATTTTTCAGTTCCTAGAATCAATTTTAAAAACAAAATATTTTACCTAAAACAATGAGGGAAAAATAGGCTACCTCTGCACCGCCACTGTGGTAGATAGCACCACGGAGTCCTTTTGCTGTGAGGCACAGCACAATGTCTGTAGTTGAGGCAATCACAGTGGAAGACGTGGACTGACTCAAACCCCAAACACCATGTTCACCAAAATAACTAAATGATCAATATCTTCTGATAAACATATACAGCACATGCTTTTTTATCTATACATGTAATTTTGATAGTTGAAAATATCAGAATATATACTGATATGCAATATTGTGATAATATTGTATCGTCACCCAAGAATTGGGACATGTATCGTATCGCAACACCCATGCCAATACTCACCCCTAGTAATAGCGTCTTTAAGTTGAGGAAATAGCAGCTAAAGCTCTACTTATTCTGTCCTTAAAAGGCATTTTATGTCCTCCCAATACTGCTTGCATTTCTTGAATTTTACTTTCCATATCAAAGCAAACTGTTTCATTCCTGCATAAAGCAGAATGTCCATTTTTCCATGTTTACGGGGTAAACACAAAAACTTTCCCCATTTATAGCCTTTGTGGCTCTCATCCCCTATTTCCCCCCAAAGAAAACCAATTCTTTTTTATATTTGATGTTGATGGCAACTTGAGATGATATTTTTGATTGTTGTGTACTCTAGGTGCTCTTTTGCCAGCCGGGGAAAACCACAGAGGAAGTACAATGGAACACCGTGCTGGTCACAAATAAATTGCCTGAAATGGAAATCAGCAGGCGTTTATGCAGCCAAATAGGAGAACATGATGAGATGAAGTAAAACTCTCTGATTCTGTTCTGCTTCTTTTGGTTGTGTACAACCTGCTGGAAAACTAATCTTGGCACCTACTGACATTTTTTTTCTCTGTTTGAGCTATAAAAATGAGTTAAGCAGGCATGAAAAAAATAGAAGTTGATCTCATTAAAATTATGTTACCAGTCACCACTGATGAGTAATGAGCAACATCAGAGTGACTCAAGCAGTTAATTTGCTCCTTTAAAAACCAAATGCTAGATGGGAGATTTCCACATTTCAGCCATGTTAACTGCAAGGCTGCAGCAATTGCAGTATTGGCCTGCCAGGTCAATATCAAGGCAGATTTATTCACAGCATGTGTTTGTAAGTGGAGCTCTGGGAAGACAGTTAGCTTTGATAAATGCCCGGGCTCACCTTGACTGAGATCTTGCCCTCATCTTTGGGTAAATGTGCGGCTAAGAACCAGTCTCCAGGGAGAGGGCTAGTCACGTTGAACGCTCCAGTTGTTCGGTTTGGAAGAGTCCAGGTCAAGGTCACAGCGAAGGACCCCGGGACGACTGTATCTTGAGGGAAGCGGGTGTAAAGGGGATTGATCACCGGAGGTGCCCCTGACCTGAAATATCTATTAATAGCAAAGCCGCATTTTAAAACTAAGCAACATTTTCATAAACAACACAGAAAACAGCCTTACGTGAAAAAGAGATGAATAGTGTGGCAAAAAAGTATTTGCCCCCTAAAAGATTTATGTTTTTGTGCTTCGTGCTCAATTTTCAAATGAACTCATTTTTAAGGTGAAAAAGCTATCCAAAGCAACCAGACTATGTAAAAAGTAATTGCCCCTAATCTTCTTAACTAGTTTAGCAACTTGTGGCAGAAATAAATCCCATGAAGGATTTCCAATGGCAGGTAATGAGCCTGTAGATGAGAGATTTTTTTTCCCCATTTTTCTTTGTTTTTCTGGCTGATGAACAACCTGTTTAAAATCATGCCATGTATTTTAACTCAACTCTTTCGCTTTAGCTGCGTAATGATTAAGGTGGAATCACTTACTGATGTCCTTTAAGCAATGCTGTGCTCCAATAAGTGAGCTGGAGCTTAAGGCTACAAACAGAGGGTTGGATATTCTGCAATAGAAGTTGCAGGTTACATCAATTACAATTAGTGGCTCAGGTCTTAAATCACTTAATCACAAAATCACCAGACCAATATTAACCAGGTTTGAGTGTTGATATCATGTTTTAGTTAAGACGTAATGTAACCACAACCACGCCTTCCAAGACACAGGTTAATTTTAAGGACTTCTTAATCATATATTGCCATCACAAATCAGGGATCAGTGTATCTATTACATCTAAAACTGAAAGAGAACAATATGGTTGATTACCAGTCATTAATGACTTAACAAGGGAGGCAATTACATTTTTACACTTGCTAGGTGGGCTTAGATTGCCTTTTGATACGAATTAAAAAAGACCAAGATGATCTACAGTATTTCAGCGTGGCAGTACAGGGAGCAAATACTGTTTTCATGGCATTTCATATATAAACATATCGGCTCTATGAGCACAGATAGCATCTGAAGGAAATATGAATAATTCAAATGAACTGCACTGTCTCCCCTTTTTATTAAAATATCACAAGGACACACAAAAATGTAAGCCTTTAACAGAAACTATGATAAAAATAGATAATAAATATTAAAAACGAATGCCAATTGCCGTTACAGCAGTTCCTCCTTTATGATTCTGAGCTGCTGGTAACAATTGACCTTGCTAAGATTTACTCCCCACCCCCAACCCCCCAACCTATCCACAGGTAAAAGGCTTATGATTATCAACTCATTCCCCTCAGAAGGAGATGACTCTGAAGTCATTGTCTTACACTGTCACATTGCGGTTTGGGCAGCTGTCCCCAAATGTGCCCCCTTGCTCCTTGAAGGTGATGAGGTTCCAGACGGCCATCATTGTGTCTTCAGGCACATTGAAGTGGAACAGCTCCACACTGGCAAAGGAGTTGAAAGCATTCAGCTTACGAGGCGTACGGGTGAAGTAATCAGTCACAAAAAGGCAATCTGGGTGGATAAAAACAAATAAATAATAAGTACACTGGAATTTTTTCCCTTTTTGAAAAGTGTTAAATATTTTTTTTTGTTCATTCATATGTTACATACATGCATCTAAATTTCCTCTGCTTTCTGTTATGCTTAATCGCTTTTTAATTTTATTCTTAATAAAAAAATAAATAAATAAATGACTAATTTCCTAACCCTTTTGGAAAATTCTGACACAACTTACAAATGCAAGATGGACCAATGGTAAAAAAGCTTATATTGCCTTAATATTGAAAAACCTTCATGTCTTGATGCTCCAACACTGAAAGGCTTCTTTGCTTCCTTAAATATCCAACTATGCAATGAATGGCTAACGTATTTATAGTCCTGGTAACAGAGTTGCAAAGACCTACCATTTAAGCTAGTTTACACAAGGTGAGTGGTGTCATCTTAGGTGCAGTGAATTTACGCTTTCCTTACTTATGAATCAGAGATTGTAGGTTAGTCCTCCTGTTGTATCAACAAGTCCCTGCTTTCCTGAACTTTAAATTTACTGTCAGAATATTTCTTAATTAAGAAGTTTAACGACTTAACTGTAAAAAACAAGGATGGAGGAGGACACAAAAGCATTATGACACCAGTGAACAGTGAGGCGTATGGTAAATTAGGCCAATGCATTCTTTCAAATTCTTTTCTTTTCCTTCATTTTGCTTTTTTGTGACACCCTCAATTTTTGTTCTTTTGGTTCCATTATTTTTGCATACTTTTAAGAAATTTAAAAGCAGTGAAATTTTAATGTACCAAAAGAAATATTCAATGATTCCAACTTCAAACCCCCTAAATTTCCCATCATCTAATTAGTGGAAAGTCTTTTTAATGGCATGCTAGAGGAAGAGAGAGTGGAGTTTTCTCTGCCAATATTAAGCAAAGAGAACTTTGCTCATAATAACAGAAGCTGGACACTAAAAAAGGGCAACTAGACTTGCTTACTAAAAGCAATTTAAGACCTTTGATTATTTCATTTTTTTGATCAGAAAAAAATTTATACTTATAATAAGGTAGGATTTATGGACTAAACCATCATTACAGCTATAAATATTAAAAGATAATATGCATATAGAAACTCATCATGCCTAAACTAATACCGGTATTAGCACTCCAGGCTGGTTGCATTTTAACCTAATCTTTCCCTCAGGTGAAGCCAAGCTTGCACACAAACAGACTCACAACTACAGGCGCATATGTACATTCTCAAAATTTTGTCATTTATAATTTTGGAAAAACAGTCATTTATTTGTAATTCTAATGGAAAATGTGTATGCCTTTTATTTTCGGATACCCTCATTTTCTTATGTAGGTTTGCTCACAGGATATGCTGTTGAGATGTTCATACAAATCCTTCTTGTTTGTATCAGAATATAGCCAGGAGCTTGACACCAAGTGGTCATCAAATAGAACAAAGCTGTAAGCTGGCAGTGTTTTAAAACTACAATTGGCAAGTAACAAAAGCTAAATAGAAGAGTGGAGGCCCTACCTGTGCAGATAGCCTGATTAGTTAACTACCTAATAACATTTTGCTATTCTTCCACTCTTTTTTTTTACCGTGCAGAAAGACAAATAGAGGTAATATTCTGCATAAGCAAGAGTCATATTGTGCAAAAAGGTAGATATTTATCATATCGTTCACACATCTTAATTTATTGTTTAACCTGCAGTCCTGCTAACAAGTAATATCCTTTTTATTATAAAGAATCTTTTCACAAAGAAGCAGCATGGAGATTATAATTGCTACATTGTTCTGTTGCCTTAGACACCCTCCATTCGCTGTCAGGAATGCAAAGGAAACTGTAGTAGATGAAGAGAATGACCCAATTAGGAGACTTTTTTTTTCTTCTTCCATTTTTACTCACACTGGGTGAGTTCCTGCAAAGCAACATGTTTTTAGGATCCAGACAAAACTCTTTTTTTTTACAGAATGTTACTACTATGGGATCATGATGGCAGTTATAATTACTTTTTTTTAAGTTTAAATCACCACCATCACTCTTTAATTTGGTAAATACCTTAATAATTTGTGTTGTATGCAATTATTTAGTAGCTTATCTGACTTTCTCTGCAGAAAAAAAAAATATTTTTAAACTTTCCTTAACGTCAAGATAGAAACAATAAATGTTTGTTCCTCTGAATGAGTCTGAACTGATCTTGTGCCACTGGATGTAAAGGTAATTGACCCGATTCACTAGAGACTGCAGATATTTAAAGGGATTTAATGACAGCTCTTTGTATACTTCACAAAGGTTTCAGACCAAAGAACTGGACAGACTGCGATCCTGTTTCTAAGACCCTTAGCCTTAAAATAAACTAAAGATAAGCCCATTTAACATTTAAAGTCCAAAATTTTCCATACCCCCAGCAGATTTTGATTTTAATAATGTTTCAAGAGAAGAAAAACAAAAATTATGTAAATAATAATAATAATAATAATGTCTTGACTTTGGAACGTAAGAAGGGAGCTAAAGATGAGGAGTATAGAAAGGAGGTCTTCTATTCTCAAAGATTTGGAGTTCATCACAGAAAAATCTTTAAAATACAGTTGAAACAAGCAGTACCATAAATATAGTTGGAAACCGTATACATCAAAATGAAACTGAAATAAATTGAGACAGGAATAAACAAAAAATTATCCCCCTTGGGTGAAATAAATCTAAAACATTAGTTTCCTTTTTTGAATGGACTTTGTGAAAAATAGAATTTTTTTCATATATATTCTAATTTATGGATGTTTGCATGCATAATTCCATAGGCTCTCTTCAACACATAAATGCAAAAAAAAACTACTCCTTGATTCTGAAAAAAAAACAGCTTTAGCAGTTTACATCTGCCAAATTTGCGATCACAGCCTTCAAACGGCATTTAAAGCAGCAAATGAATATGCTTTACTAGCATTCTGCACAATTGTAAATCCTAGGATTACATCCACAGAGACTTCTGCATATAAAAAGCACATCGGGCAGGTGTAATCTGCCACATTACCTAGCTGGGCTGATCTGACACAGAGGCAAGATACCCTGTGTGTGGGCAAAATCTGCGGGTAACTGCATGAGTCAGTTAATTGCCACACAAGCACATAAAGCATAAGTGTTATCATAAACATAAACAGCAGCAAAGGGAGCAGGTTTCCACAGGAACTACGGGGATTTTTCATTTGCAGGGAATGCGTTTCATTTATAACACCTTCTCTTTCTGTTTGTGTAGATCTCTTCTTACATCCTGCGCTTACAAGACTAATGATGACATCTCTTCACTTTTCAGAAGTACAAATTACAATTTGTTGAAAAATATCAAATTCGACAGAAGTGTTTCAAGGATGAAAAGAAAAAGGAAAACAAATATGTTTAAGAGTCGAGGCAATACAGTAAGCAAGCTCATAGTGCTATGAGCTCATATGTGGCTACATTTTTTTTTTTTTTTGCTTTGTTTAATTAAACTTCTTTACTATGAGGAGATAGTGAAGAAAAATGACCCTGTAAGCTGAACAGGAGCTGATTTCTGGATGCACAAAAGAAAAGATTTTGCTGAATGTGTCATATTATTGAATGTCTGTGTAAAAAAACAAAAGAGAAAAAAAATATATAAAATTGGCCTCCTCCAATGTTTCTACCCCCTCACTCGATGACCAATTCTAAAAGTGTTCACAGATTTTCACACACAGTAACTAAAGGCAAATTTGATTACTATATAAAGAAGCTAAAACAGAGCAGTGGCTTGTTCTCCAGTGCTCAAACCTAATCCCATAGAAGCTGCTAAATATCTAGTACTCTCCTGTGCCAGTTTGTTCTGAATTTTGAGCATTAGTGTTAAGCTTCTCCAGAGTAAATTCCCTATAGCTTTTTGACTCTTGAAATAAACGCCTGAGGTCAAAGTCAAAAGTGCAAAAGGATAAGAGTGACACAAGAACTCTGGCATAGTTCCTGTATCTTCTAGCAAAACAGAAAATGTGTCTTTCTAAAACATCTAAAAATAAACTAAATAATGGGACATTGGTTTAGAGGCAGAAAGAAAAAAGTCCCGGGTATTCCATCATCTTGAACAAGTCTAACAATGGACACTGATTACACAACTGAAAAGAGATCTCTATATTAAAGCAGTTAGCTTATTAGTAGGCAAAGCAAGTCTCCCATTTATCTAAGAGGGAGGGCAAAAACTGTGAGGTGAAAAAAACTGTAAAAGTATTCACACCATTTAAACACTTATTCATATTAGAGCTTCTAAATTTAATTTATTTTACTTGATAATACCATAAATTAATTTTGCCACAAATTCCTTTCATAACACAAAGTCACTGTACAAAGGAAAAAAAGCAAAACAACAAAACCAAAAAACAAAAAAAACAAAACATGAAATAAATGTTATGGAACAATACACTTACAAGGAGTGATAAACCCTTGTAACACTTGAGAATCAACCATAGAGCAGAAGTAATAGTTTACTAAAGATTTGGTTTTAAATATCCCAAGTCACAATTGAATATTATCATAAAACACAAATTAATTAGGCCAAGCACTTAGAAAAACTAACACTGTATATGATCCCTGAACACAATTTCCCAATGTAAAATAGTGGGGGCAGAATCATAAAGAGGGCACTTCCAGTAGGAACGTTGGTCAGAGGGTTTGAAAGGCTGACCCTGTGCTTAACACAGGGCAATCCTGGAAGAAAACCCGTTAGAGGACCATACAACCAGATTTACTATACAATGGTTCTGATCAAAGCATATTTAAATGCTTGGATTGTTTTTGGAAAACCTTGAGATTTCAAAGCTGAAACATGAATACATTTGCAGGTGTAATCGCACTGAAACATGGCTGTGAGTTTTAATCATGGTGGACTGATAACAAATGTATGCCACACTTTTCAGATTTTTATTTGCAATAATATTTCTATTTTTTAGATTTTAATCTTCCTTTCCCCTTGCTGTTATGTACTATTTTAGCTTGACTTATCACAAAAATGATAAGAGAATACAAGTTTGTATTTCTAATGTGATAAAAATGTACAATGTGTTTCTAATGTGATAAAAATTTACAATGATAAACATTTATTCAAGGCCCTGTAGGTTACTGGTTGTAGTAAAAATAATAAAAATATTTTTGCTTCCTTTCAGATTCCAATCAATTAGTTTTTAATTTATGTTTTGTTTGTTTGTGCATAGCATCCAAAATTAATTTGAAATTTTCAGCTCTTTATGTGGGCTGCAGAAGTTATTTAGGATGCTGCAGCCAAATCCAAAAAGATTGAAATTAATAAGTGCACCCACAGATGTGTGCCTATGTCTAACTGCCAGCATGTTTACAGCGGGTCTATAGTAGGGTATCTCAAGGGAATTAGAGCTCAATAAATATTTGGAAATGTGAGATACCATATTTGCAGCAGCTGTTGTTAAATTTGCAAAATTCAGACATTTTTAAGTGGATGTATATAAATACAAGAATTCCTTTTCTTCGAATTTTAGCAGATTTTTCTTTTGAATGCATTATATATGAAAAAAAAAAGATTTGTAAAATTCTAATCCGAACAGTCCAAGCCTCAGTGACACCAAAAATCAATTTAACGCAGAGCTGAAAACATCTTGCTTGTTTTGTTTGCCAGCTTAATGAAGACATCTCATCAGAAGATAAAAGCATCTTAGTGCTTACAGGCTTTCTTGCAGCATGCTCCTGTTTTTTTGGTAATCTTTTCAAGGAGCACCTCCCTACCACTGTCTCTTACCCTGGAAGAGAGGCTTAATACAGACATAATCCTGCTTTTTGTCATCTCAACAGGAGATTTATGCGTAAACATTTCACACGGCTGTCTGCAAACTTTAATTTCTTAACGGCAAAATATAATAAGAGGCTGCTGTTATGGATTTTTATGGGGGGTGGGGGTTACTTCACCCTGCTGCTTACACCCACCAAAAGCAAATGGCTTGAAAATAACTCACAGTCAGAAGGATTTGTAGACCTTCTGCTCTAAATTACAACATTCGCACAGTTCCACTTTGATCACGAGTAAAATAACCCGATTTATCACCTATAAAACTGGGGGGGCAAATAAGAATAAGGAACCTCATATAATTCTATTCGGTATGCAGTAAAGTTAGAAGAAGCTGGTGGAGCAAAACAGCAACAAGTTTGCAACATTCTCAGACAGATGCTTAAAAAAAGTACAGATTGTCCTACTGTACATTTTGTTGTTTGCCCGAGAATCCAGAACATAGATTTTAATATGTTTGGCAATGGCATGCTGTTGGGTGGGCATCCAAGGGACAACAAAATCATACACATCAAAACAAAATACTACAACTCATTATAATCTGTTGGAATGTTTTCTTATTTACAAAAGATAAAGGGAAACACTGATTTGAAAACTACCACTTTATCTGATTTTGTCATCTCAGTTTAGTTAGAAGTGACATTGTTAAATTGGAGATTCAAAGTCACTACGATTATAACCACATTTGCCTAATTTATAATTTTTTTTCTGTGTAAAATAAACAAATGAAAAAGAACGAAGAAAGTTAGGAACATAAAGGTCCAGTCTGACGCCTTTTCCTCCCTGTTGCAGTTTTATAAACGATACATGTTTACTGTAGTATCGTTTGTTAGAGTGAAACATAATTGGCAGCTCTATTTTCCTCATATTTGTTTACAGGATAATTTTTATTATCAGCCGGAAGCTGATAGGGATGGATGCTCCAAGGACTGAACCAGAGCCGGGATGCGGTGCTCTCACCGCCGCGGCTTACTGCTGCTTTAGTTCGGTGGATTTCAGCACCACCAACAAAAGGAACAGCTCCGCGAATCAAAGCAGCAGCAGCGGATAGAGCGACACAGCCACTCACCTCCAACAGCGCAGAAAAAGGTGTAAACAAGCAAGAGGAGCCTCGGAGGGCTACATCCACAGCCCTGGCGCTCCAGCTGCAACATCGTTAAAAGCCGAACGAGTTGTGAGGAGGGCTCCAGCCCGGCTGCAGGTCTGAGGAGCTCTCCTGGTCTACATTTTTTCTGATTATCAGCCAGCGACCAGCTGTTTGTGCATGACGTCACTCCGACGACGACGTGAACCGCGCCTCCTCTTTGGCTTTGATTTGACAACCTCAATATGTCGAGCGATTTCATTGGAGCAGCGGCCCTGTCTGTACGGTGGACGCTGCAGACGTGGACTGCAGCACAGGGCCTCGTCACCGCCGGAGCCTCCGCCGGGCCACCGCACACTGGAGACAAGGGAGGACTACAGAGGCTGCAGCTGCCCCCCCTGAAGGAGGGATGGAGCCTCCACTTCCTCAGGGACCCGACACAGAAAGTTAGTGAGGATAGTGGACTCATTCCTACAAAGTCCTTTAATGAACTTTAACATTTTTGCATTGGTGATCTAAGGGAATTCTTACAGTTTTTGTTTGATTGTTTTGTTTTGTTAGTTTTAGTCAATATTTCAGAGTGAATCACCTCTATTAAAAGTTATTGAAGATTAGCCTACGCCTAGATGATATCATTCTATTATAGGGGGGGGGGGGGGGGGGGGGAAACAACTAATTTCAGACATAAAGAAAAATTTTTTTTTTTTTTTTAGCAATTAGGTTATCTTTTGTAGTCACAACACCATACAAAAATTGAAAAGTACATATAAATAGCATTCTACATGGGGGGGGGGGGGGGGTGCAGGAATTAGCTGTCCACTAAATACTTTGGTTTTCCTGCCACAGCTTAGTAACTTGCATAGGAGGTAAGCATTTCTTCATCATATCTGTACACCAAAGGTCTCCATTCAGATATTAAGCCACATATGATGGTTCCGGCTTGGCCAGAGCAGAGTCATGAAACATTTAAAAGATCCAAACACAGCAGAAAATCTAGGTCAGGAAGTATAAAAATGGAACCAATCAAAGTTCAAATCCCTAACTGTTAGAAATAATTAAAATAAACTTAAAGGGACTTTACATACTTCACTTATTTTTGATAACACTGATCAGAAGATAGGGGGAAATTTATTAAAGAGAGATACACATGCTGGTTTTTATTCCCTCCATCTTCTTAAGGTTGGTCGCAGCTCCATCTTCTATCAACATCGTCAGTGCAGGTCCGGCTAGAGGCAAGAGTGGTTGTAAGGATCCATAATAAACTGGCAAGGCATAGGAATGAAAGATAACCTACTGTATGATCAGTGGTTAGTTTGTACTAATTGAAATATTTCAAAGATAAAAATCAGACAACATTCTACCCATCCGCATGCGATTCATCAGTTAATCTAAATCATTGTGGTCGATAATGGCCTATTTCCTGGAGCTGAAGAGTGGAAATAACTCATACTCTGGTTTTAGGGTTGTCTCACCATGAGTCAGAGCAATCCAAGCAGATTTGCTGAAAAGTGAATGAGCTCCTGAATGAGGTCTGCCTGAATAGCTTATTGAACAAATGATTGCAGTTGGACAAAGAAAGCATGATTTGTAGTCCATTAGACGGTATATATGAGTTTGTGACAAGTAAAAGTAACAAAGAAAAGTTCAACGAAATGGATTTGATATATCTGCCATTTTCCTGAAATACATTCTCTAACAGGCGCAACATTATGACCACCTACTCAGTAGCATGTTGGTTATTTGAAGACCATTGTGGCATTTACTCCGCTGCATCCTTGCAGGTTTTTCTACCTGGTACCAAAATGTTAGCAGCTGTAGGTTTAAATCATCAGACTGAGATCTGCTGATCCGGATCAACAACTCAAACCATTCTTCAAACACTCTGTGATTCGTTTTTGCATTGTGCAAAGTTTTGATCATCCAGCAGTGCAGACAGTCTGCATACATGTCTAAGTAACATCCACACACATGGAAGGAACCACAGTTCCCAAAAGATCCCATTGCCTTTGGCAGCTTGCTTTTCCTCCAGGTAATAGATATAACCCAGCCCCATCTGACCTGAGGTATTTGAGCCTCAAACTCTGAGCTAGAATTATTTTTCAATAATCTGTTCTACATGAATCTCAGATGGGCTTTACAACAAATGAAATACAGGTGCTGGTCATAAAATTAGAATATCATGAAAAAGTAGATTGATTTCAGTAATTCCATTTAAAAAGTGAAACTTGTATATTATATTCATACATTACATACAAACTCATATATTTCAGATGTTTATTTTGTTTAATTTTGATGATTACAAATGACAACAAATGAAAATCTCAAATTCATCATATCAGAAAATTAGAATATTGTGAAAAGGTTCAAAATTGATGGCCCCTGGTGCCACACTCTAATCAGCTAATTAACTCAAACCACCTGCAAAAGCCTTTAAATGGTCTTTCAGTCTAGTTCTATAGGCTACACAATCATGGGGAAGACTGCTGACTTGACAGTTGTCCAAAAGACGACCATCGACACCTTGCACAAGGAGGGCAAGACACAAAAGGTCATCGCTAAAGAGGCTGGCTGTTCACAGAGCTCAGTGTCCAAGCACATTAATAGAGAGGCGAAGGGAAGGAAAAGATGTGGTCGAAAAAAGTGTACAAGCAAGAGAGATAACCGCACCCTGGAGAGGATTGTGAAACAAAACCCATTCAAAAATGTGGGGGAGATTCACAAAGAGTGGACTGCAGCTGGAGTGAGTGCTTCAAGAACCACCACACACAGACGTATGAAAGACATGGGTTTCTGCTGTCGCATTCCTTGTGTCAAGCCACTCTTGAACCACAGACAGCGTCAGAAGCCTCTTGCCTGGGCTAAAGAGAAACAGGACTGGACTGCTGGTGAGTGGTCCAAAGTCATGTTCTCTGATGAAAGTAAATTTTGCATTTCCTTTGGAAATCAAGGTCCCAGAGTCTGGAGGAAAAGAAGAGAGGCACCTCATCCACGTTGCTTGAAGTCCAGTGTAAAGTTTCCACAGTCAGTGATGGTTTGGGGTGCCATGTCATCTGCTGGTGTTGGTCCATTGTGTTTTCTGAGGTCCAGGGTCAACGCAGCCACATACCAGGAAGTTTTAGAGCACTTCATGCTTCCTGCAGCTGACCAACTTTTTGGAGATGCAGATTTCATTTTCCAACAGGACTTGGCACCTGCACACAGTGCCAAAGCTACCAGTACCTGGTTGAAGGACCATGGTATCCCTGTTCTTAATTGGCCAGCAAACTCTCCTGACCTTAACCCCATAGAAAATCTATGGGGTATTGTGAAGAAGAAGATGCAATACACCAGACCCAACAATTCAGAAGAGCTAAAAGCCACTATTAGAGCAACCTGGGCTATCATAACACCTGAGCAGTGCCACAGACTGATCGACTCCATGCCACGCCGCATTGCTGCAGTAATACAGGCCAAAGGAGGCCCAACTAAATACTGAGTGCTGTACATGCTCATACTTTTCATGTTCATACTTTTCAGTTGGCCAACATTTCTATAAATCCTTTGTTTTTATTGGTCTTCAGTAATATTCTAATTTTCTGATATGATGAATTTGAGATTTTCATTTGTTGTCATTTGTAATCATCAAAATTAAACAAAATAAACATCTGAAATATATGAGTTTGTATGTAATGTATGAATATAATATACAAGTTTCACTTTTTAAATGGAATTACTGAAATCAATCTACTTTTTCATGATATTCTAATTTTATGACCAGCACCTGTATGTTAACCCATATTTTGTCTTTGAAAACTCTTCGAAGTTTCTAATTTAGTCATGTGTTAAATCAGTTTCTTCCAACTTTTTTCTTAATTGACGGGGCAGAAGAAGCAGATTGCCCAACTCACTATTTGTGCAAAAACTACAACTGTGGTCAAATTCTAATGCTCACATACCCTTTAATACCTTAACGATGGAGTTCAGTCAGCATGGACTCCCCGAGTTTTGCCAAGGGCTATTCATCTCCATACAAAACAAACCTCAACACCTTTTATCTAAAACAATGCTGATCTCTTTACCAATCTGAGAAATTGGGCCATATTTGATAGAGACTAAGAACTGCAGAGCAGGAAAAAGGGTTTTACAAATATTCTGACCCAGTAATCTAGCTCAAACTTGCACTTTAAATCTTTATGCATAATTTTATTGCCTTAACTTTGAGTACAGGATCTTCTCTTAAAGTAAATATACCCAATTTACTTTTGGCTGCCTTGATTAGACATAATAAAGCTGTTTCATTTCTCTGCACAGCTGTCATCATAAGATGATGATATAAAACTATATAATTATTTTAATGCCAAAAAAGTCCAATATAAATGAAAAACAAATACAAATTTTGCTGTTTTTAAAGACAATTTATTTCCCCCCAAAATGGGCCAGGTCTTGGACTTTGGGTGGAAAAATAGTTGCATCCAAAAAAATTCAAGATTATGTTACATTTCTTCTGGTTTCTATAATACAGGTGGAGTAACATTTCTGCTGTGGTTGCACTTAACTTATAATAGTAAATGTGCAAGATATTTCATATTACTCTTTTGTTAATCCTTTTTGTTGGTTCATTAACTTTTAAGTCAAGTTTCTAAAGTTAAATATAATCACAACGTTGGAATTGCTGAAACAGCTCCCATTTAGAGAATAGGCTTCTTGTTGGTGGGTTTTAGGGTTTAAAGTTTTAATCTGAGGAAAAATAGAACATGTCCGCCAGGATTTTTATTACAGCATAGTATTAAAGGTTTAACCTCATATAACCTGGCAGAAAACGGACTGGAATTTTATTCTACATTGTGTTTTACCCTCAACAGAAAACCAGTGTTCAAAAGCTTCAAAACATTTTTGGCAGAGGTTTTTAGAGTAGAACCCAGTTCTTAGAAAATTCCACAGCAGATAATCAAAAATATCTTGAAATCTGTCGGTTGCATCAGTCCAATGCAACAATAGCAAGCAGCTTTGTTCAAAAATAAAAGCTGTTCTTAAAGACAGCTGAAAATCTAAAACATATAAAGAAGCACAGGACATTATAAGATGGTAATCTACAACTAGGTCTAAAGCTGTAAAATTTAAAAAGCAAAGGAAATGCCAAAAAAAAGAGAAAATTATCATTCAGATTAATCAATCAATAGCCAAGACAGTAATAAAATAAACAGTTTCACGGAAATCAATTGTCTTTAGGTACTGTAACAAAGTGAACTTTCCTATATAAACACAGTTAATAGGAGAAAAATGATGAACCTAAAGAGAAATTAATCAACATTTTATGAGTCAATGCAGGCATTATTGTGTATTACGTCTATGGGGTATGGTGGCTCAGATTTATACTTCAATCTAGTCTTCTTCACATACTGTAAAAACAGTTACAGGGTCATGATGCTTTAAGCCAAGAGAAAATAAGAATATTTGATTGAGGCTGAATAACTCTTTGTTGAGTTTATGAAGCACAGATAGGAAGCAGTTCCTGGAAATAAAAATTAAGAAAGGGATTTACAAAAAATCTCAATCTTTACACATTTGCAGACACTGGTCTTTTTTAACAGCCCAGAAATTATCTTTCTACTTCTTTAGATTAAGAATAAATGTCAAATGTTTTTTTTACTGAATTTTATATTTTTAGTGCTTAAATTCTTGTGTTTACATAAAAATAAAAAGAAGTCTAAGCTTTATTCCATTTTAAAAACATGATTCTGTTGTTTTAAGGATAGCTTTCAGCACAAATTCTTATCTGCATTCAGATGAAACAAAAATTCAAATCCCACTTTAGCTCTAAGCACCAAAAAACAATTGTTTAGACCAGACATTTGGAATAAAATTGCTTAGTTTTAACAGCTGAAAAAAAAAAAAACAAGATATCACAGAAATACTGATGTAGCTCTGTAAAAAAAAGTAGAGCTTATATAGAGTCTGAGTGATGTAAATCAAGCATGGATTTCTTCTTAGCCGGTGGCACTGCTGATTGCTTCAACAACGACCTTCAGACTGTCTGACTGCTGTCTCATCTCCCACTCCACAAACAGACTGAACTTATGAAGCATTTCTCCAGTCTTAGAGTGCAAAGTATTTTTTAACTGCAGCCCGATTTTCTCTCTCAAACACACACATTTAAAAGCAGACAGACTACATCGGGTAGAGTGCCTTGCCCAGGGGCACGTTGACATGTAGTTAAGAAGAAAGCTGGAAAGCCATAACTTTCTTTTTTTCTCTCTCTAATCGACCAAAGAACCTCATCTTAGGTGATGGTAATTTCCTGACCGATAAAGTACAGCAGTCTGGTGGTCACTTAAGACCTGCTGGAACATTAGATCAGCACCTCTAAAAAGCTTTGCAATGCTGGACTCTACTTGTACCATGATAAAACCCATTGGACCCACACCTGCAGGTTACCTGGTTCTAGAAAATGATGGGAGATGAAATTAGGATTTTCAACCACCAAGTAACAGTCAAGCCTGTTCCCTTTTAGCTCTGATGTCATTCCTGGTTAGGGGAAGTTTCACACATGGGATGTGACAGGTGTGGCTCATTACCTGAAAACAGATGTGTGTGTGTGTGTGTAAAGGATCTTGGAGCAGATTCCAGCCGAAATTTCACACCTTTTTACTCACCATTAAAGTTGTGAAATGGTTGCTTTACCGTACTCATTACATATGCACCTTCCTCTACCTCAATCTTTCTCTCCGGAGTTAAATTCTTATTCCAATGCTTAGAAACAGCACTCTTTAAGCCATCAGGGTTTGTTTTTTTTTAAACGACAGTTCCAGTAAGCCCCTTAACCCATGATTGTGTGGGATGTACAGTATGTAAACTCCAAGTTCTCTGGAAAACTGACTTTTGGGTTTTTATTAGCTGACAGCAAATATTTTCAAACTTAAATATATAATTTAAAATACCCATCACCCCAAGGATAATGGATCAATATTTCACACTTTCAACTGACTGAAATAAATCCTCTTGATGAGTTTAATGTAATGAAATGCCACACGCTGCTGCACTGTTGCCTTCAATGATCCTCACTTGACTTTAATCTCTTTCACCAGTTTCATCTTTGTTCAGTTGCCTAAAGACATTTTATTTTCTCTTAGATAAACCATCCACACATCGCTGTTATTCGGAGCGCTCGTCTGTCTGGCCGTTTGTCTCAACTGCCTTTTAATCCGATACAAGCCAAGAAAGGCTGTGAACCTTGGAGGCAAAGCAAGCACTTTTAAGAAAAATCGAACTCCTGCCAGATATTCTGAACGAAACAAATACAATCACTGTCAGAGATCTGGAAGATGCACATCAGATGAATGTTTTACATATTGGGTTCGCAGTTTTTCTTAAAACAGTATAAATACACAAATTCTAGAATGTCCAATGAGAAATCAAAATCTTTCAATGCTCCATGCTATTACTTTCATTACACTAAAGTATTCCTTAAATATTCACTCTTATATCTGCAGAATGACCACAATTTTGGAAGACATGATGTGAGATTTTGGAAAGCCTCCTACGGTGACATTTGGAGCAGGAGGCGTGGGTAGAAGGCAGATAAACTCATGCCCACATGATGCCCTCAGTTATTTCTGTTCCCTCTCTAAGGTGAGCATTTCCCAGCCTTAGTGCTTAAACTACAGTCATCCAGAGAGGAGCGTGAAGGGCTTCTAGTTAAGCACTTTAACTAGCCGACTGCATGCAAGCATGTAAATACAATGATCCTCCAAATCCCTGGAGTAAAACTGAGACTCAGGGAGAACTGATCTATATGGGAATAGAGCAAATGGCTGAGGAAATACAAAAATGCCCGACTTTATGTAGAAAGACAGTCTCTAAAGATTATATAAACTCTACCACGAGGTACACCACATACATTATTTATTGTTAGACAACTCCCTTGCATTATGAAAACATAAAAACATGAAGGAGCTCCAAAAACCAGAAAAAAAAATAAACCTGTAGGTCTCACTTAACAAGGCAGTCTATTATTCTTGGCTACATAGTGCCCCCTATTGAGCACATGTTCTCTAGCATTATTAAGAGATTAAAGAAAATTAAAACAGAAGTTTTAATGTGTTTAATCTTCATTTACAGTAAAGTGATGAAAATTTAACTGAAGAAAGAAAAAAATGTTTCTAAGTACAGCCACATTTACAGTGGAAAAGTAATACTAAAGGCACAACTTTACTGTGGAAATGTCCCACAACGACAATTAGTCAAAAAACTAAGTCCTCTGAAGTTGTCCTATTGAAATTTGTTTTCCACATATTTCAATTTATACTACAAATATGTGTCTATATACATCAAAAACTACAGGAAAGTTACATCCTGAACACTCCAAAGCGGGTCCTCTTTGATGGCGCATTGAGAGCTGCACTGAGGCTCAGTCCCAGAACCAGACGAGTGTCTGCTGGATCAATGATACCATCATCCCACAATCTGTAAAAAGAACAAAGAAAGAAAGAGTTTCACAATTTTACACATATTCCTTATTAGAATAAAGTGTATTATTAGAAATTTTAGCTCATCTCATAAACTACTTATTTTGCAGATAGTTTGCATAACCTGGGCTTGTGGGGTTTTGTTTTAATCTTACTGTGTTTTTTTTCTTTAAATTTTTAAGTTAGCTTTTTTAGCTCTTCAATATTTTTTCCTAAACCAGTCTTAATGCAACCCTCGTAGGATTAAAAAGTGCAAATTGCAGTTGAATCTTTCTATTGGCTTAAATAGTACAAGCACTACAGGCTTTCGTCATCTTAGCCTCACATTTGGGTATAAATACAACTCACTCAGACATATGTCTCAGTTGTGAGTCATGCTGTCCTCCGCTGCACTGGCTTCAGGCATCGCCAAGTCAGTGCTTTGAAGCAAGTGGGATAAACTGGTAATGCTCTGGCCCAATGTGCTCCACAAAGCTGGCTGTTCTAGGAACTCCTCTAGAGAGGATTTTACAAAGATGTATTCTTCATAGAATGAAGAACAGTATGGATAACCCTGAGGGAGACTGTTGAACAGCAACAGTAAATATTCAAAGGATTCTGCAAATCGGCTCTAAGACAGACCTCTACAGGACATCGTTCCTGCCAACAGCTATTAAAATTTATAACAGCTAGCTAAAGAAAAAAAAACTCAGTTGCAACATTTAATTTCTCTTCAAGATCAATAAATTATCTGTTAATTGATTCTGAATTTAATTAAATAACAAAAACCTGTATGCCAGGGTGGAAAGAAAATGTCATGTTATATCAAAATGTGGCTATCAGGACACTAGGAATAGATAAGCTTTCTGGAATATTTAGCATTTGTTTAAGGTTTTACAGTCATTTATTATTTAATTGGAATATCAAACAAACTTTATTCAGTAACAGGATCCAAGGATTGATCTAAACAAGTGGGACCAAATGAATGTTTACATTTACCTTCATCTGGAAAAATGACTTTGGAACAACCAGTTACAGTCCAAGTCCCTATTTCACCTTAGCCCCTTTGTGCTGGATAAAAGGACTACTATAGTTGAAGCCTCATGTTTTAAAGATATCAGTAGCCGTATTTTAATCCAATTTTGAATGAACTTTCAAAATGTAAAAAAAACAAATTAAGACATTTTCCCACTTGTAATAAACAGGAATGTGCCATTTGTTTTAATGCTGGCATTAAGATCATCAAACAGCTGATCGGTCATGTGAGGTGAATGTTTGCTACGTCAGAACTTATTTGATAAATATGCTTCCATATCTTCTTTGGATTATTTCCTTTTTTTCGAAAAAAAATAAAAAAATAAAAACACCTCAGGTGAACATAAAAATGTTTGCAAAATTTAGTCAACTGATTCAAATTCTGCGGTTCCTATCTGTAGCAAATTCTTCAAAATGCACATAAAAAGAAAAAAATCTGAGGTCAGCACTGAAGTGACTCCAGTGGGATTCCACAACTTGTGATTCTTTCCTACAACATAGAATGGTCATGGATTCAGTTCTCAATAGAGGGATGATTCTTAAGGACCCTTTCCAACCCAATTAAACTTTTTAGTGTACATTTTTCAATAACATCTCAGTATTAAAACATCCTTTATTTAGTCTTTTGATAAAATTTTCACTAAGAAACCGAATTGTTGTTGTTGTTTTTCACCTAGAAAAAAACAAACAGATTAATCAGCATGTGTTAAAGTAAAATGACTGGAGGAAGGAAGGAATCAAAAGAGATGCACCTGTATGTGCACAATATAGTCTGTAATGCAGCCTGTCTGATGACTAGCAATTGCTGAAATAATTGCAGTGTTAAGTAGGCAATAATGGAGCAGCATTAAAAGCGTCACCAGAGCTTGTTTGTCAGAGTCAGTCTGACATGAAAATAAAGATTCACCACTCTATCAGAACATAAACAGAACATCTCTACATGGACTGAAACGTCATTAACGGATATCTAGACCATTGCTCTCTGTCTACTCTGTCATCTATGCAGAAGAACAATAGCATTTGTGATGCATTTACTGACATCAAGACAATGAATAAAAGAGTCTCTGAATCCCATTGAGAATGGATCGTTGAGCTGAGGGTGTTTAAAGCTTGCAGACTGCTCTCATTTGTTTATGTGCATGTAGCTGTGATCCGATCGTTCAGAATGGCCTTTAATAGCAGGGGGAAAAAAGGCTGGCCGAGCTGCATCTGAGTGAGCTACTGTAGAACCCGTGTTAATAATAACATGGGTCATTATAATAAACATTATTAAACTCCAAACTCATCTAATGCCAAATTGTTTGCAGTGTTTAATATTTAAGTCCAGGCTTTAACTTAAGTTGAAGCAAAACAAGACAATAAGTCCAAACCAGATGTTTCAGATCCCACTGATTTTAACTCTGTGCTGGTATCATCCAGCAGCCTTCGTTTAAAACAGAGTAAGGCTTACGAGACTTCATAATAAGGCCTCAAATAACAATGCCAGTTTAGTTTTAGCCTTAAAATAACTGGGATAGCAAGATCCCCCGCACAAAACAGATTTTTTTTATCTCATAGAAGTTCAAAAGTTCCATTAAGCAGGCCTATTTTAAAACGTACAGATAGATGCATCTCACATACACACTAATACATTTGCAAAAGAGCAAATGGAAAGCAAATAAAACCCAAAACAATAAAATAAAAATAATAAAATCGTTTGCATTAGTTCTCACATATTGACAGGATAAGTTTCTTGGTCCAAAGATGAAAAATACTTCCAAGTTAGAAAACATTTTAAAATCAATAAAAAAAAATAAAAAAATGAAAACCTAATCCATCACAACATCACAACATTTGTCTTTAACAATATTCGAATGCTTGAATTTCCAAACAGGAATGAATAAATGGAGCGAATGCTTTCCAATATGTGCCGCTCCCTGACCTAATCTCACCTGGCACTGGAGTAATATGGACTGCCTTCCTCTTCAAACCGATTAACAATTGGTTCCTTCATAGCCGCCTCTTGTTCAGCTGTGAACTGTGAATAAATAGTTAAAAAACAGAACATATCAATGAGGGCTGGGGCTGCAGGCATTTTAAAGGTTGCCTGAATTGTTGATGGTGAAATTGAAATGTAAAGCTGAAAGCACATGGCCGTTTCATTTGTCGGTTTCATCTACTTGGAAATACTGAGCAAATTCTTTTTGAGAGAAAAAAAAAAATGATAAAAAAAAAAAACTGAGCAAATGCAGAAGCTTCCCACTGCTTTTAGTTCAACTCCAAGGATGAGACGGGCGAACAAGCTGTCAATCAGAAGCACTTCTTTAATGCAATATTTGAAAGAAAAAGGACTCCACATATTTGGTGTTCTGCGGCCCTTGGAAAGTTCCTGAAATAATTCTAAGGTCTTTGATCAAAATGTGATTTTGAGCTGATCAGGAGTAGGCCTTAACTCAGACTAGAGTCCATTTGGGGCAAATACCATAAACAAATTAAAAGGCTTTTTACTTTGGATTAAAAAAAGAACAATCATGGGTATAAATATGCTTTTTAGTGGAATTTATAATTTATTCCAGAACAGGATATGAAGAGCACCTCTCCTTGCTGAGTTACTTATAAACACTGAACTCCATTTAAATTTACTAGGATATGTATTTGTTAAAAAGGGTAAAGCTAACATTTTAAATGCCTATACATTCACCTCTTTATTCTAAATAAACACGCTGCCTTCTCAAGCCAAATCAGTCACTTCTGCAGGTCATTTAATTTGTAAACAGATTCTACCAGTACGTAATCTAAACTCAACATAAATAGGCTGAGTAGTGAAATTTAAAGCATATATCCACCAACAAAAACCTGTCAGTTTTTAAGACCGGTGTTATCCACTGCTTCTGGGCTGCAAATTTTATCTGTCTATATTTATAAATGATTGTTTATTCATTCTAGCTGAGAAAAGTCTAATCTTAACCTTTTTATGTTCACTTTAAGCAGAGTTTGAACCACTGACGTACAAGCCCTGTCGCTGTGTAATGTGTGTGTGGGCAGAAGGGAGGTGGGTGGTACCTTCCTTTGGGGCAAGTCTCTCAGGCTTTTATATAAAATATCTGCAAATTAAACAACCATCTCCTAATAGTGGATACAAAACAAGAGTGCAAAAGCTGTAAAATTACTAATTGTTCAAGACTAGAACAACAGTTATTTTTTCATTTTTTTCCGTGAACTAGAAAAACCTTCGGTTAGTTGCAGACTAGGGCTGCAACTAATGATTGTTTTGCAAATAGATTAATCTGTTGATTATTTTTTCGATTAAAAGGTTAATAATCCGATAGCCAAATGTTCCTTAAAGAATAATTTTACAAAATTCAACCATGTGAAACTAAAACTTTTCGTCTCGAGGAGGTTCTGGATAGAGCATATTGACAGACCAAAAAAATGTTTTTCCATCTTAAATGCAAAATGTTTATGTATTTTTTAATAATTTCGATATAATTACTGCTCTAATTGGGTTGCTTTGTCTGCTAAAGGCATGGTTTACAGTGTTGATGCTCCAGTTAACGATTAATCAATTACTAAATTAGTTGATTATTATTTCAATAATCATTTAATCACGATTAATCTGCTTGTTTCAGCCCTAGTGCAGACCACGACCAAGTAGCTCATTTCCAACAACATACTGTCCACTTTAAGTTAAAATATGCTTTCACAGAATCTTTTTTTAAAAATCCACAGATCCTGACAGTAATTCTGATCATCATCAAAATCGAATAATTTGTTTCGGTCGCAATACGAACGTTTTCTGAAAATTTCAGCTTTTCAGTGTTTTAAAGAGTCAGACAAACCAGTGCAGATGAAAAAATAACCCCCTTCTGGGAGGTAATACTAAAACCATGTGTTAATGTAATTCTTTACATGCTGCTTTATGTTGGTTTAATCCATAAATCCAAAGAAAATATAGTGTGACACAAAACAGGGAAAGGTACACAGGAAAGAATGCTTTTGTGTCCCGTTTCTACAAATCTTTAGACATTAATTTCTTGTTCCCTCAGGTTCAACTAAGAGTCAGAGCTCTAAAAACAACATATGAACAAATTGTACTCATCTTTTTATGCCAGCTAACACATCATTAAAACTGCTGCTTTTTATGGCACTAATGTGTCACTCTAAAAGCAATTAATTCATTTTTAATACACCTGTAACAGCAAACCTGAGACATTTTAATTACCGCTGCTTAATGACGGCACTATTCTGGATAATGCATCACAGTTGCACTTAAGGCTGATATGATTTCATTCTGCTGTGATTTACCATCAACTGAAAGAAATGTGCCTTTCCTAATGTTTATTCCTTTGGCAGCCAATCAACCACAGTGTATTTATGGCTTCCCAGAGAGGGCACAGAGGGGCAGATTTATTCCAAATTATTACCTCTTTTCCCTCTCGTGCTCTCTGATCTTTGGTGATGGTGGCCAGGACCGTCGCCGCCTGCTCACCTCCCATTACAGAGATTCTCGAATTTGGCCACATGAAGAGGAATCGAGGGCTGTGAGGAAGAAATAAAACCTTGAACATAACATTTTACAAATACATACATCAGAGCACCTTAGAACATTTTCTCAAATACACTAAAAAAGCTATTTCATATTTAATTAAAAGCTACTACTGTTTTGCTTTACAACAGCTGATGAATCTGCTCCCAGTCAGTTCCTTTTTCCTCAGCAGGACATCATGTAAGCATGGAGCCTGTTTTAGTCTTCTTGTATGTGAGGAGATGACTAGTGATAAGCATTATTTTACTAAAGGAAAAAAATTATATTTTTTTTCTGCTTTAAACTTATTGCAAACACCGAATCCTGATGGTGATTTTGAAAAGAAAAAAAGATTTTTTCACTTCTTATGGTTGTTTTATTGATAAATTTAGCAACAGCTGCCTTTTTGACAAAATACTAAACACAGTTATAGCTTATAGAAGACCTTAACAGAACATGTCATTATAGTTTTGAAATGGCTTTTGCTGCATTAAGCAACAAATGTATAATGCTGCCCCAGACTGAACATAAATAATGATAATTATATGCACAACTAATTATCATAGTCTAGGTAGTCATTTTCATTTTTGATATTTGTTTACAGTTACATTGTAATAAATGTGTATCCCCAATTTGAATTTCTACATTGTCTACATAAAATGACCATAGACCTAATGAGAAAAAGGCAATAACTTGTAATACAGTACAGTAATTTCTATCTAAGTGCATTTGTGGGCAGATATAAGCAAAGTTACGACAGAAGTTATTAATTAAAAATGGTACTGCCACAAATTCACACCTATCCAATCATAGATGCAGGCTTTAATGCTTACATTGATCTGAATATTGGTTCTCATCTTTGGCCAATGCAGCGGGATGTCCCTCTAAAGGGGAACCGAGGCATGTGTCACCCTTAAGATCTAAGCTACAGAGTGTGATTTTCAGTGGCATCTAATGGTCAGACTGCAGGGACATGAACTGCTCCCTCAGCCGTTTCTCCCCCTCAAACAACACGAAGGCTGTCTTGGTACAAAATGGCTTCTGCAACATCACCTATCTTGTCAAGTGAAGATGAGGTTTGTTTGCATGAATACTTTTATAATATTTTATCAGTCTGTGTATGATATAAATGGGACTGGAGTAAGATAACTTCATTGAGCGTAATGGGGATCTCTACAGTCACTAGTTTTTCAGCTCTGCACAGCTGCTGTAGAGCAAAGATGCCTGCCTCCATAAAAACGTCACCGTATCCGTTGTAATTATAAGAAGCAGTTTCTAGGGCAAAGTACACAAAAAAAAATTAGACGTTCAGTTCATGAATGACAATGAATAAAATACTTTTTTTATATTTTTGTCAGTAAATTTCTGTAATTATTTAACAGTGGAGCCTTAAATCTAGAACTACAAAAATAAATAAATAAACATGTACATGCTTTGGACTCATTAAACACAACTTAACAATATTAACATAAGAAGCCAGCATTATAAAAAGTTATAAAGATAATATAATAATAGGGTTGGGAATTGAAAAGATTTTCACGATTCCGATTCCCTTTTCGATTCTATGAAACGATTCGATTCTTTATCGATTCTTTTTTCGATTCCAATTTGGGGGAAAAAGGAGAACAAACAGTTTGATTATCAGAATCAACTTTGTTTACTTAACTATTGCACAATCTTACAAACTCAACAAGATCAAGATGTCCACAGGAAATGTGAAACTGGAGTAACATCTGTGTTTAAATGAAAAATGAATACAAGAACAAACTTAATAACCAACAATGTCTAATAACAAATGATGGGATAATAACCTATTTTAAATAACAAAAAATACTAATTATAAAACAGTAGTAGCACTGCAAAAAATGTAAATCTAAATAAGTCATTTGTTCTTAAAATAAGTTCATTTTTTCTTGAATTGAGTAAGTAAGTGACACATTTTGCCAATGGAACAAGACAATTTACATTTGAAATAAGAAAAAAACTATTGCATTGTCTTATTTCAAGTGCATATTATCTAATTATCTTATTTTAAATGTAAAAATACTCATTCCATTGGCAAACTGTCTTATTTACCTGCTCAAATTAAGGGTAAATACACTTGATTTAAGATATTTTTACTTAATTTCAGATCGTTTTTGCAGTGAGGGAAAATTAACAATTGTTTTGCAGAAAGATGAGCATATCTGCTTTTTCTGGAAGGATACGGGATCTTTCAGCGCTTATGGTGTCTCCAGCCGTGGAAAACACGCTCTCAGATGGGGTGGAGGAAGCCTGCACACAGAGGTAGTTTTCAGCCAGTCCAGATAGCAAGGGCAGCGTATCTTGCTTCTTCCACCACCACAGTGTGGCGCTATCCCTGCAGGGGATGGAGGGCAAGCTTTTACAGAGCTGGATTTCCTGATCTACCCTCTGGGCTAAGGAAAGACGGGGCTTTGATTCACAAAGTGACCGCAGCTCGTTGTCTTCCTCCTCGAATAGTTCTTCCAACTTGCGTAACTTGCGTAACTTGCGTAACTTACGTAAAAAATGTGACGTAAGTCATGCTCCCCAGAGCCGGCGCTCTAGGCTCTGGTGCTGCGGGAATCGAAAAAAGAATCGTTCAGCGAGCTGCCAAACGATGCCATGGAATCGGAAAATACGGAACCGGTTCTTAACAGGAACCGGTTTTCGATTCCCATCCCTATATAATAATATCATAAATAATTTCCGACCGATTTCAGGTTGCCCCATCATTCACAGGCTGGTAACTGCAATAACTCTTACACTAATTAAAGCTTAGACTGACTGCTCCCTTATTAAACTATAACACTGGTTCTTTGTGGCACTAGGTAAGTGTTTCACATTGCAACTACATTTTCAAAGGCAACAAATTTAAGATATATCTGAACTAAATCCATAACAACCACCAGCTGCGGAGAAGTACTAACCCATGCTGCACTGAGCTGCATCTGGTCGATGTCAGGTACCGAATGGGAAACAGTGCTGTCTTAAGCCCGGCGTACACTGTGCAATGTTCCGGGCGATTTTCCAGTCGTGTGAGAATCTTTCGATCGGGCTGACTTTCAGCCTGATCGTGTGTCGTGAGTCATGTAGTGTACAGGGGGTTAAGAGTAGGGCTCGCTATTGTTCAAAAATTTTCGGTTCCGGTACCAATACCGATACCTTCACTTCGATACCGGTTCCTGAACGATACTTTTTTCGATACCAGTTTTATAATATCAATTCGAGAAAAAAAAAAGAAAATTACACAACATAAAAAAGTACAAATCTTGAGTTTTATTTTAAGCTCTGAAAATTTCCATTTACATTTTTCCTCTTACATAAAATAAAATTTCAGTGTCTAATATTCACTGTTACATTGTGAGGACCTTTTTACTTAGCAGTTTTCCTTTAGAAAAATTATCATGTCTGACAAACAAGCCCGTTGAATGGGATCCTACTGACAGAGCACCGCTGGTATGTGGGGGTCTGAGCGGCTCCGACAGAAATATTGGAAGGCAGGATGAACTGACTGCACTGATTAAGTTTTCAGGTGGATTTTCCCACTTAAAAACATAATAAAACTACTTTATTCCCACTGATCACAGCAAATATAGCTGCAAGGCAAATAAAGGATAGAGTAGCTCCGCCCAACGCGCGTCAGAGCCACTTTTGCACCGCGCAGCCAGAGCAGCAAAGCTTCTTCAGCCGCGCGTCAGAAGCTGGTACAAGCAGCAAAAAAGGAAGCAGCAGACGTGATTTTGCTGCTCCTGCTGTGTCCAGTTTGAAAGCAGCATGATTCACTCCGCTTTGTCTTTGCTCTGCCCACGGGCTGCTGAGAGGAGGATGGTCGCGCTGGCTGCGGTCCGCTCTTCTTGCAGTCAACACCGAGCAACTTTCTGCTCTTAAATTATTTCCGTGCACGATGTGTTGCATTGCGCACTATCAGTCTTAATAAAGTGAAGCCACACTTTTGACCTGGGGGGGCATTTTAAAGGGGTTCCATGACGCTGCAACCAGTTCACAACAGATACACGTGAACCCTGGCTGTAGGCGTGACCACCTATGTATTTTTCCTGGATGACGCAATCACGTTAACTGTTATAGCCAATCACCGAAACTTGGTACCGAAAGACGAGGCATGTTTCGATACTCTGTAGAACCGAAGCATTTTGGTCGGTATCATAAAAGAACCGAAGTTCGGTACCCAGCCCTAGTTAAGAGGGATGATCAGCCTCTCATGACCACCTCCCGATCAGGAATCGGGAGGTAGGGAGAAAATCAAACATGTTCGATCTTCTCCAGACCGTCGAGGGCAAATTTCTCAGTGCGCATGCGCAATCAAGGATTCTTCTGTAAACACAGCAGCATGGCAGGGATGCAATGAGTGAAATGCAGTTCTGTCTGTAAAATTGACAGATCGAAGTAGCCACGTTTGCTCAGCCATGTCTTTTTTCCAAACACATTGTCGCCTTTTCTTTTTAGGGCTTTCAGCACTAAAGTGCACAAATTGCCATAGGAGCGCGTTTCACTCTAGTGAGCTTCATATTCATCTTCTATTTGTTTGGCTTCCAAATAGACCAGTCAGAGCAGCTCCATCTCATTGCGGAGCTGAGTCCGACGTGGTGTTTAGTCGTACAGTGTGAGCAGTAGCTGCGTGCAACGACTGAAAAGAAAATCGCACAGTGTACGCCCGGCTGCTTGCATCGCTCAAGCTTGTATGAGCAATGCAAACAGTAATTTTTAAACAGAGCATGCATGAGGAGAAAGGGGCTTGTGCATGCTCTTGCACACGTTTAATAAGCGTTCCCTCTCTAAAGCGGATACAAGGTTGTGCATGTGCATTTTTTATTTTAAGTGGAGAGGGCAGGTCTTTTCAAAAATTCACGGAAATCCTCCACTATACCTTCAATAGGGTGCATGTGATGTGTAAAAACATTTCCAGAAACAGTCAAAACCAAAACAAGCCTTCTATATTTCTAAAGACAAACTGATGTTATCGTGACAGTAATGACACAAGTAGTAAATCATGTTTTGGTTGGAAAGTACAAAGTATTCTAATTTTCAGTTTCATTGGACTCTAAAATGTTAGAAGATACAGAATCCTGACATTTTTGCAGTTCATTAATGAAGTTATTTTGTTTTTCTTGTAAAGTCTTGGTACGAATATTTTAAGGAGGAGGGGACCAAAAGTTTGGACACGCCTCATTCATCCATCCATCCATCCATTTTCTAGCACGCTTAACCCGAGTGGGGTCGCGAGGGGTGCTGGTGCCTATCTCCAGCGCACCAGCACTACACCAGCGCTACAAAGAAACTGGATGACATGAGGACCGCCCCAAAGAAAGTTAGACCAAGAGTCACCTCTGCTGCAGAGGATAAGTTCATCCAAGTCAGATGAACCAGCCTCAGAAATCGAAGGTTACTGTGTGAATCAGGCCTTCATGGTAAAATAGCTGCAAGGAAACCACTGCTAAGGACAGGCACCATTCAGAAGAGACTTGTTTGGGCTAAAGAACACAAGGAATGGACATTAGACCAGTGGAAATCTGTGCTTTGGTCTGATGAGTCCAAATGGGAGATCTTTGGTTCCAACCATCGTGCCTTTGTGTGATGCAGATAAGGTGAACGGATGGACTCTACATGCCTGGTTACCACCGTGAAGCATGGGGGAGGAGGTGTGATGGTGTGGAGGTGCTTTGCTGGTGACGCTGTTGGGGATTTATTCAAAATTGAAGGCATACTGAACCAGCATGGCTACCACAGCATCTTGCAGCGGCATGCTATTCCATGCGGTTTGCGTGTAGTTGGACCATCATTTATTTTTCAACAGGACAATGACCCCAAACACACCTCCAGGCTGTCTAAGGGCTATTTGACCAAGAAGGAGAGTGATAGCGTGCTGCGCCACATGACCTGGCCTCCACAATCCCCGTACCTGAACCCAATCGAGATGGTTTGGGGTGAGGTGGAACGCAGAGTGAAGGCAAAAGGGCCAACAAGTGCTAAGCATCTCTGGGAACTCCTTCAAGACTGTTGGAAGACCATTTCAGGTGACTACCTCTTGAAGCTCATCAAGAGAATGCCAAGAGTGTGCGAAGCAGCAATCAAAGCAAAATATGGCTACTTTGAAGAACCTAGAATATAAGACATATTTTCAGTTGAATTTATCAACAAAACAAAAATCTATTTGCATCTCTTTTCTATCTCTTCCTCTTCGTGGACATTTTTTCCCCCACCATTTCTTCTAAGAGAAATGGTCAGATTCAACTAAGATCTGTAAGACCAGGTCAACGGCTCACACAAAGAAAACACTAGAAATGAGTCACACAAATCTAATCTTTGCAGCTAGCAGCAAAAATGTTTTTACAATGAAACATGGATTGTGTCTGATGTCTGAAAAATTTATGATTTTTCAGAGAAATCAATTACATATAAAATGAGATCAATAAATTAAGTCCAGCTATCCTAGTATTTTTTTAATCACTGGTGCCTGCAGTAAGAATGCCATTGCAAAGGTCAAAAATTGTCTCTCTTAGTCCGACACAGTGCTGAAACAGCTGGGTATAACTTCATTGAAATATTTTACAAAACACTAAAATAATGGTGAACATAAAATGAACGGACGAGCGCTGTAGCAAAAGAAAAAAGAAAAGACAACTGACTGCTAATCCCTTCTTACTTATGGTGATTTAGAGATCACTGTCAATAAAAAAATAGCTTTAAAAAAGAGCTTTCCCATTTTATGCAAATTACGCACTGTCCATATAAATCATTAATATCAAGCAGGGAACATTTTGTTCTTTTTACTGAAATACATCTCCAGACCCAACAGGGAGAGACTTCTCCCTACCTGTACGCTCTTCCACACATGCCGTAGTTGCCTGCACCGTAGGAACCACCGATGATGACTGTAATCTTCGGCACATTGGCGCAGGCCACAGCAGTGACCATCTTAGCACCATCTTTGGCAATACCTCCAGCTTCATACTCTCTTCCCACCATGAACCCTTTGAAAAACAAGCAGAAAACAGGATATTAAAGGAAAAAAAATGAGTGGTTTGTCTTTGCTACTCAGCACATCAACATCATTTCAAAAGAGGAAGTCAAATTTGCACCAACCTGTTATATTTTGAAGGAAAATCAAAGGAATGTTTCTTTGGCAGCATAATTCGATGAAATGTGTTCCCTGAATAGAAAAATCAATGTTTTTGAACATTATTACTCACACTAGAGAACTGCCAAGAGGTAAAATCTTAGCCGTGCATCTTCATAACATTAGGATAACAGACCTGGCATCTCAATGGACCAACAACAATATAGCATTAAAATAAGAAGACGCATTGAGTATAATTGTACATATCAAAAAACCCTCAACCCAAGCATGTGTGCGTACGCAATGAATTATCTCAATGCATCATCTTAACAGCAGCTGATAAAAATTGACCTGTCTGCATCACATTGTCCAATAATCAAGATTTATACATGTTTTCAAGTCAGATTTTCTTGCTCTCGTCTTTAAACACAGAATGGACGGTATGTTAGACAGACTGATAGAATAACGGATGGACAGACATTCTGATTGATGGATCAGCAGGGGGGTACAATGAACCAACAGCCAGAACGATGTATGGATGGTAGGAATAATTGATGGATGGGTGGACAGATTGATGGATGGATACAAGAGAGTGCATGTTATTTTCATGTTTGTTATTCACCTAACTTAATAAAGAACTGAGAGCTTGTACATAAAGCAAACACTAATGCAGCTTAATTTTGGTTATTGTTGTTGCAGGCTTCCTTTTGTTAAGGAAGCTTTCCTTGAATTAAAAGCTGCCTAGATGGGGGGAAGAAAAGGAAAAAAAACTAATCTGTGTCTGTTATGTTTCTGCCTGGTTTACTTCTTATCTGTAAAAATACTCAACAGATATGCTTTTAAACCTCCCCAACACCTTGTATAATTGAAGCCAGGGTCTGTTTAAAAGTGATGACAGTGTGTCTCATAAATGCATCTTGAACACCAGGTCCTGTATTGATTTTTGGTCGAATATGCGCTCCAAGCATGGCTTCTCCACAAAACACTGTTGGTCTATTTTGACAGTAATTACACTGATGATATGAGCCTGTTGTGAGCAGACCAGACAGAGAGAGATAGATTTAAAGAAGTCAAGCCTGTAATCTAATTCAAAACATGTCTGGAAAAACATATAGGTGTATTAAAACAGATTTGACTCATCATCTCATGTTTATCCTGAAGTAAAGTTTGTCTCGGCTCAAAGCCAATTAGTTTGCAAATTAAGTGAAATGTGCAGAATTTTAATTAAGGTTTTAAAATGCAACGTTACAATAACTACAAGGATTTGGTGGCAGAAAAAAGGGAATTTGCTAGGTTACTTTGTGTAAGAAACTTGGCCGTTAGAGTATGAACAGTCTGCAAAGAACACAAGAAAGGAAACAAACTGGTATCACTGGAAGCAGCAAATCTGTGCAGCTAACCCAAACCACTTCAGGACTCTTCATTCTTCAGAGTTGTCTAAACATTATATCACCTTCACTTCAAGGTGAGACCCATTTTTTTTTTTAAATACCTTTTTAGCAGACTCTGAAAACAGAACTCCGTTATTGCCAATAATTCCAACAGGGTATCCAAATATTCTTGAGAAGCCTGCAGAGGCAGAGATTAAAATTAAAAGGTGAGGCTGGTGAAGCAAATGAAATGGAAAACAATATTCGACCATATACCTGTAACCAGCGTGTCTCCATAAAATGCCTTGAACTCATCAAATTTACTGCCATCCACAATTCTGGCAATGACCTACAAACAAATAAATGTGTCAGATCGTAGAGTGGTGGAACGAAACGTCAGAAAAAAAACAGCCATTATGCAGAAAACGAAGCTGAAGCAGCCCAGTAATGTCACAAATCTTAGGTAACCTCCTTTATTAAAGTGATTTAGCCACTTGCTGCGAGGAGCTGCCTGTTCCAGATAAGAAAGAAAACTCTTGTAAAGGAAAAGGCACAGCTGGTTGTTCACCACACCTAAACAGGCTGTCAATGCTGCTCTACATCACAAACACTCTGGCATTGCTTGAGTTAACAGTAATTCTTGCTCCTGAGTCTGCATTGAGCACCAGAGTCTCAGGAGCAGCCAGAGAAGAAAAATAAAGTGATTGATGCCAAGCAGACATAATCAACTGAAAGCCTGAACACTGCTCCCCCTCAGCCTTTAAAATACATATCAATGTAGGCTAGGATTAGATATCAGAATGGAGGTGACTATTTATTCTATTCTATCTTCTTTGGAATCTGTTCAGAATCAAGTAATGTCTCATCAACATTCTGAGTGCAGCTCACACAGTTTAACGCCTTACAGAAAAATCATCATATCAAAGCTCATCTTTTCCCAAGTGCAGTCTGAAACATTAAGCTCGCTTCACTTGATCAGCTTTGCAAGGAGCCGGACAATTACCTCTCTGACATCAAAGTTACGTTTCAAGTTATCTCCAACTATCCCGTAAAGCTCATCTGCGGGGTAAAGGGGGGCTTCACTGGGTTCTACAGTGACCTTAAAAAAACAGGAAGAAAACATAAAGGTAACAGAGAGTTCAGGCACAATTAGGTGAATTTAATTAGCAATTAGACTAGGGCTGGGCGATATAGAAAAAAAGCTTATCGATAAAAAAAAATGCATATTGATCGATATCAATAATTATTGAAAAGATTTGAAACCATATTTTATGTGCAGCTCTGCCTGGACTTTTTATAATATTGCTAAATGATTTAATTTTAATAAAAAACACAAACACAGACTTCAAATTAAATCTTTATTTAACCAAATTTTTTAACCATAACAGAATTGTTTTAAAGAAAAATAACTTAAGAGACCTGAGTTATGTTATTAAATAATGACAAAGAATAAACTAAAGTGACCAGAAAAGTGACCAAAATAAATATAACAAATAAATAAATGCCCCCCCACCGCCGCCGCCGCCGCCGCCCCCGTTTCCTGCGTTATTACTTTGAAGTTTCTGGCCCCTCAGCATTTTTCTCTCAATTGTTAGAACTACGTGGGAAACTGCCCAGAACTGAAAATATATATATATATTTCCCGAAGATTCCTCAGAGGAGAGCCGCGTCGGGGCCTACACAGCTCGTACTCCTGCGGGTGTGAGCAGCTGAGATGATAAAAAAAAAAAGTTGGTTGTGTTATCAGACTTCGATTTCACTGGTTCCCTACACATTTTACAGATGACTGTGGTTTGTTTTTGGTCCGACTTGCCATGACCGAAATACTGCCAGACTGCTGAACTACAAAAACCCTTCTTTGGAACAATTTCCTCCGCCTCTCCTTGCTGCGACATCTTCATGTGCTCTGTGTTGCGGTTTGAGAGGGCGGCGCTTGGTGACGGCGTGCCTGGGTCCGCGATTGTGATTGGTTGGGAGGAAGCAGTGACTAGCATAAACCTACATGCTAGGCTACAATGAGAAGGAAGGAAAACTACGTTTCTTTTCTATCGAACTTTTATCAACCCTCTTTTTTTCTATTGCGCCACACGTCTATCGATCGATATATATCGTTATTGAATTATCGCCCAGCCCTAAATTAGACCATTGATTGGACTGACCTCGATATTCTTCCTGTAGTTGAGACTACGGACCGTCTTTCGGGCTAAATGGAGTGCGTGGTTATCATCTAAAGCGTAGTGGTCTGTCACACCTGATTTTCTGTGAAACAGGAAAGAAATCAATCCCAGTAGTTAAGAGATGACCATGGAGTGGAGAGCAGGTGGAATATACAGATCTAGCAGTCATTTAGATCCAAATACACATTTACCATCAAATAAAGCTAATGTGATATAATTTCAAACATTGGACATCACATCAACAGTTAAAGGCGCTTCATTCAAAGCAGTGTATTTGGAAAATGTACAACAGCCTTATAGAAGAGAGGAAAATCAGTGATGTTACACGAAATACTGTGCTCATACTTGCAGTGTAGATCAGCACCACCAAGATCTTCTGCAGATACCTCTTCCCCGGTGGCAGCTTTCACCTGTTAAAAGACACAAAGAGGTTTCATGAAACTGCTGCAGCAAGAACTGTCTTTTTCTGCAGCTGATTGATTGTTTCCTACTGTTACTATTTCACCATTCATTTGCCAGTTTGACATTTGGTCTTTGGTCTTTTACTGCAAATTATACACACCTTAGTAATGGTTTGATCCTGGCCGGATGTACAACAATTAAAAGTAGTGGTAGTAATCTACTATATCCAATGATTGATCCACAAGTTGTGGTTGTGTGACTCTAACATATACACCATCAGCAGGAGGTTGCTCAGTTATTTAACAAAAATAAAGTGTAACACAACAATGAGTAATACACAACTATATCAGGTCTATGACTATCCTAGTGTAATGGAGATATTTAACTCTAAGGACATAATAAACTGCTAAGCACAGTCAGCTAAACGGGCATCAACGGTTTGATTACACATATAAAATTTAATATGTTGGTGACCAACAGCAAATGGGCAGGGAGGAAATTAGGGCACAAATGGGCAAAAGGTTGAGCCACACCAACCCACATCGTCTTAATTCAGTCTTCTAATTCATACAGAAAATGATGCCTTCTGATCAAAAGAGTGCCCAGAAGATACAGAACGAGTGAAATAAAATGTGCTTTTTGGCCCGAGCCCAAACCTCCGACCAGTTTGACCTCCAACACATCAGGTGTTAAAAGCTACTAAGAGAAATGAGCATCGGTTTCCTCACAACAAGCCTCAGGTCTTAGCAGCCAGAGCAACACTTTCTATAACTGCACAACAACATCTTATCAATCGGCAATACATTTTGGTTGCTATCATTTCACTGGCAGAGATGATAAAAGAAGAGTGGATTATATTTCCTACATGTTTCTAAAAGTCCTTTGTTAAATTTAGAAATTAGAAATGTAATCCAGAATTAAATTGGCTTTATATTTTGAGGGAAACAAAGGCGTCTTTGCCTTCTTTGGGGGGCTGAGCAATTATTTGCATTTTCAATACAATCACAATTTAACCAAAGCCATTTTTAGATTGAAGAGGTGTCTCAATTTTGATCACAACCCATTTAACAGGAGTCAGAAACACTGACTTTCCCACCTCAGCTCTTTAGGAGGCAATGCACTTAAAATGGGTTTGCTGTCACACCGAAGGGAAGAGAGAATTGCAGCTAGCATGCAGATCATGCAAGCAGAAGTCAGCACTTTTCTCCACAACAGTAACAGTAAAGTCCTGCGACATTGGATTCTGGACAAGTAAACTTAAAAGGTCAGGAAAACCATGAAAGACTGAGGTGAAGTATTTACATCTTTGTGGTTAGAGAAATGGAAAACCAAACTAAAATGCCAATCGTAATATTGTTAAAAAAAAAAAAAAGAAGAAAAAAAGGTTTACATCTTTGGCAAAATTGTTCGCCCCACATCTTTGCATCCTGTGATCCAATATTTTGTAGAGGAAGGCATTAGAAATGTTATGTGCTCCCACCGTCTATGTTAGTGATAACTTTATTCAAATAATTAAAATCTGTCTTTAATAGCAGGGATGTCTCAACCCAATATCAATATTGGAAATCAGTCTGGTTTCAGCCAACAAAAGGAATGTTGGAACCTGTATTAAAATCCCCAATGTAAGCATGCTGGAAGAAACTCTCTGCTTCAGTTTAAAGTTTATGTAACTTATCAGGGCTCGATGTTAACCATCACCTGATCTCCCAGGGCAAGTAGTTTTTATTGTTGGGAGAGTACAAATTTCATTGCATTTGCCTGCCGAGCAAGTGGAATGATCGCAAAAATGCCAGCGCCATTTTTGTTGTTCTGTACACATTCTCGCGTGATTTGAAAAGGCCGGGTGATTTTCCGCCAGAGGGCGTGATTTTTGTCCACCTAGAGGTAATTTTGATGTAGTTACCAAAACGACAAACGGCTGCATTTATTTTGTCAGGGAAAACTAATCCATACTCAGTTAAAAGTCAGGGAATTCTGAAATTATGTAAGACTGTGGAAACCCTGTATAAAATAACTGTATAATGATTCTCTAGAAAAGTCACATTATATTAATAGTATTATCTTGTATAAACATACCGTGACTCTAAAATAAAAGTTATTCATTTGTGACATTGACTTCTGTCTTGTGATTTATCTTAGGTTTTTAACCTGTCAAGTTTTTTTTTTTATTTTTAACATTACAATTTATATTTGTCCAAGCACACAACAGTTTAAAGAAAAGTTTAGTTTGTCAACCCCTGCTTATTGATTAATAATAAATTGATCAGTTTTAACTCCTACCTATTGTTGATGACAATTGCCCCTAAATAATACCTCTTGATTAAATCCGCCGATATCATATTAGGTCAATATCAATTATGGGCTATACACAAAAAAATATCCAGTCAGATAATATGGGCTAATTTGAATTAAAAATGGTCTTTCCCCATGATCGTATATTAGTAGGAACAAAATCAAATGGAAGAACAAAAAGAAAAAATTGAAAATTACAGGTATGAGATGATACAAATGAACAGAAAGATTTTATGCAATCTTTTAGACAAATTCTAGGACAAAATTATCTCTTGTAAAAATGTCTGGCACAAAGGAAGAAACAGTGTAACTTAGTGAAAAACTTGTCTTTTTATAAAGCCAACAGTATTGCACCTTTCATTTCTCACTGTTGTTTCTGTTAGGTCTCATTTCACACCTGTTTTAAGGACATGGTAAATATTCGCACTAATTGTACATAAAACACCTCCTGTCAGTGAGAATGGAGTGGAACCTTTATTCTAAATGAGATGCAAAACATCTCCCTAAATGTGGATAAACAGCATGGCCATATAGATGCTCCTAGTCAATAAAACCAGCGCGCAAATGCTGGCTTGCTTCTATTTTGCCGAAGCAAAAGCTGCTCAGTCATAGTAACCAGCTGGTACTGGAATTACCAATTCAACTGTAATACCATGAGAGGATGCAACAATCCACATGATTCATTTCATGATTGTAAAATACAAACAAGATGAGAAAATCTGCAAACCAGAGGAGGTCCTCCGAGGAAGATGGTTCCTTGCTTGCGCACAATGATACTCTCGTCTGCCATTGCTGGTACATATGCTCCTCCAGCAGTGCAGGAGCCCATCACAACAGCAATCTAAGAAGAAAGAGGAAGTGTTAGAAATCTTAATGCGAAAAGAAACAACCCCTCCAGCTAGATTAAAGAACCATGAAAAAATATATCTGCAATGAAAAAAAAGTCTGTGGTAATTTTTCTTCATAAAAGTTTCATTGACTAGCAAGATATATTAAAATGTGACAAATCACCAAAATGATTCAAAACACACACTAGAGGATATGACTTTTAAAAGACTTATGACTGCAATTTTCTTTTAACTTTTAGGGGGCATAAGGACAAACTTTGTAGTGGTTTATTATGCAAACCATTAAGCCTATCAAAGGATAACCACAGATGTGCATCATTCTCCAGTATTAAGTAAAAGAAGGTTTTAATATAAATAGGAAGAAAAATGTTTTGGATGAGTCCTTAAAGTTGACATGTTTAACTCCTCCTGGCTACTTCTGGGTCAGTTTATTGCAAATGTTTTTTGTTTTTGTTTTTACTGACAGCATTTAATTTTACACCTTTGGTTTTTCATTATTTCAAGGCCTTTCTCTTTCATATTGGTCTAAACTAGGAGTCAGCAACGTGGGGCACCAAGGGGCCCTCAGGGGCCTCATGGGGTGCCCACTGCATTTTCTGAAAACAGCACAACTCACCCGTGGGCTAAGATTGAAATTTCTATTTTATTTTGTTTGACTTCTTTTTTAATAATTTATAGAGCTATTCATCATTTTAATCATGCAAAGTATTTAAGCATTTAAAGAGATTTCAGAAGGTCAATATCATAAAGAAAATTAGGAGTTAAAAGAAACAAAAAAATATTATATTAATATAATATATTTATTATGTATGAAGTTAAGGTGAACGCTGATCCCCCCAGTTAATAACTGTTTAAGTGCAACCTGCTGAGGTGTTTATAACCAACATTCACACAATGAATGATCCTGCAGATCCCTTTAGTCGACAAATCCAGTCGACTTTGGTCTCTCAAAATTTAATAAAGCAAAATGCCCAATTTGTGTGAAAGTTGTCTTTTATTACGACTTTAATTAAATTGTAAATACTTAATATTAATATGCTTTTCTTCACTATCTTTATTTGATTAAAAAGTCTGTCACAAGCACCTTAAAGCCTCACCTGAGCAATTCCTTCTGAAGATAACCTGGCCTGGTTATAGAAAATACGGCCAAAGTGATCTCTGTCTGGAAAGACGTCGGCCTGTCTGGGAAGATTGGCTCCTCCAGAATCCACTGAGAAAAATTCAATGAAGAAAAGTTGAGTATTTAGATCATTTATGATCCAAAGTCTGATAATGAGTGTTAAAGAGGAAACTCATGCTCCTTTTCCAAAGATATCAACACATTTTTTTCTTGTCTGAGCGCCTCCGACAGAAATAACATTAGAAGGCAGGATGATAATCTGGATGAACTGACTGCAATGATTAAGTTTTCAGGTGGATTTTCTCACTTAAAAACATATTAAAACTACTTTATTCCCACTGATCACAGCAAATATAGCTGCAAGGTGTATTTATTACAAAGTATTAATCAAACCTGGGAGCTGGCCGTGAGACACATCGCTGATGACACAGAGCGCTGTGATCACTCCTCTGAAACAGTTTATTGACGCATAAATTAACTTAAAATGCAGAAATCTGCCGGCAGAATATGTTCGCTTTTATTATCCTGGTGCCGATATCGAGCGGTTGAATAACAGCAAGCACAGCGTTCATTTGTTTCACCATGGCTGTGAGATGGGCACGCATGGAGTCACAGATTAACAGCGATGGTGATGAGTGGAAAAAAACACCTGGTCTCCTTACATACACCTCCCTCAGCCACTCTTTCATCATCTCCTCATTGAGGAGATGAGGAGTTCTGCATAAAGCACATACCTATTTTTTTATACACAATCCACGTCCACACTTCCCCCTTTAACGTTCTCATGGTGGTCTCAAACGTCCGCAGTAACAACACACATAGGGCGCACCGCACCATAGGGCGCGCCACACATTTTGAGGGGAAAAAAAGACTTTTATATGCGCCTTATAGTCGTAAAAATACGGTATTAATGTATGTTTAAGTAAGCAAGGGCTAAAAGTTTTATTTTTTAAACTAAATTATTTTAAGATTTAGTGTTTGAAAAAATTATTCTAAATCTAGCAAAACATACCCAGGTAAATGCAGGGTAAGTGATTCTGCTGGGCGATTTCTTGTGCACGGAGGTGTTTTTTCACTGTAATGGGGTAGTAGGTTCCTCCTTTAACAGTAGCATCATTAGCAACAACAACACATTCCACCCTAAGAGGGAAAAACATCAAAGGGAAATTAATGGAATTTGCTTTGGAAATTAGATGTTTTATTTTTATCAAATTGATCAAACAGTCAACATCTTTTATATAATCCAACATTCTTTTATGAAAAATATACTGACCCTGAAACACGTCCAATCCCAGTGATCATCCCCCCGGCAGGAACCTCCTCTTTTCCATACAATTCATATCCTGCAAACTGGGAAAATTCCAAAAACGGAGTCCTGTAAAGACAATTAACAAAAACTGTCACACTTTTCTGATTCTTAAAATGAGGAACAAAACACATCTGCTGGATAAAGTTTACTATTTCAATAAAATATAAACAAAACACAATTTTTTAAATAACTCAAAAACTAACTATGGTAATGTCCGCATAATAATGTACAGGTGCTGGTCATAAAATTAGAATATCATGAAAAAGTAGATTGATTTCAGTAATTCCATTTAAAAAGTGAAACTTGTATATTATATTCATACATTACATACAAACTCATATATATTTCAGATGTTTATTTTGTTTAATTTTGATGATTACAAATGACAACAAATGAAAATCTCAAATTCATCATATCAGAAAATTAGAATATTACTGAAGACCAATAAAAACAAAGGATTTATAGAAATGTTGGCCAACTGAAAAGTATGAACATGAAAAGTATGAGCATGTACAGCACTCAGTATTTAGTTGGGCCTCCTTTGGCCTGTATTACTGCAGCAATGCGGCGTGGCATGGAGTCGATCAGTCTGTGGCACTGCTCAGGTGTTATGATAGCCCAGGTTGCTCTAATAGTGGCTTTTAGCTCTTCTGAATTGTTGGGTCTGGTGTATTGCATCTTCTTCTTCACAATACCCCATAGATTTTCTATGGGGTTAAGGTCAGGAGAGTTTGCTGGCCAATTAAGAACAGGGATACCATGGTCCTTCAACCAGGTACTGGTAGCTTTGGCACTGTGTGCAGGTGCCAAGTCCTGTTGGAAAATGAAATCTGCATCTCCAAAAAGTTGGTCAGCTGCAGGAAGCATGAAGTGCTCTAAAACTTCCTGGTATGTGGCTGCGTTGACCCTGGACCTCAGAAAACACAATGGACCAACACCAGCAGATGACATGGCACCCCAAACCATCACTGACTGTGGAAACTTTACACTGGACTTCAAGCAACGTGGATGAAGTGCCTCTCTTCTTTTCCTCCAGACTCTGGGACCTTGATTTCCAAAGGAAATGCAAAATTTACTTTCATCAGAGAACATGACTTTGGACCACTCACCAGCAGTCCAGTCCTGTTTCTCTTTAGCCCAGGCAAGACGCTTCTGACGCTGTCTGTGGTTCAAGAGTGGCTTGACACAAGGAATGCGACAGCAGAAACCCATGTCTTTCATACGTCTGTGTGTGGTGGTTCTTGAAGCACTCACTCCAGCTGCAGTCCACTCTTTGTGAATCTCCCCCACATTTTTGAATGGGTTTTGTTTCACAATCCTCTCCAGGGTGCGGTTATCTCTCTTGCTTGTACACTTTTTTCGACCACATCTTTTCCTTCCCTTCGCCTCTCTATTAATGTGCTTGGACACTGAGCTCTGTGAACAGCCAGCCTCTTTAGCGATGACCTTTTGTGTCTTGCCCTCCTTGTGCAAGGTGTCGATGGTCGTCTTTTGGACAACTGTCAAGTCAGCAGTCTTCCCCATGATTGTGTAGCCTATAGAACTAGACTGAAAGACCATTTAAAGGCTTTTGCAGGTGGTTTGAGTTAATTAGCTGATTAGAGTGTGGCACCAGGGGCCATCAATTTTGAACCTTTTCACAATATTCTAATTTTCTGATATGATGAATTTGAGATTTTCATTTGTTGTCATTTGTAATCCTCAAAATTAAACAAAATAAACATCTGAAATATATGAGTTTGTATGTAATGTATGAATATAATATACAAGTTTCACTTTTTAAATGGAATTACTGAAATCAATCTACTTTTTCATGATATTCTAATTTTATGACCAGCACCTGTATGCTTTATGGTGTTTGAATATTTTAGATTTTAAATAATGTAGTATGTAGAGGGTATTTGCAAAAGCCTTTTTTGTAGCAGATCTCAATGCATCACAATAGTTAAAAAAAGTCAAACCTACTAAATATAGGATCTAAAATAAATTTATAAATATTAATAAATTCAAAAAAGGTATTATTGAAGGGTATCAATCAAAACTTTTCTTTACTTTCAATTGTTAGCAAAGCTAGCTTGCTCTGGTAGGATTGTTTAGTTTTTTTCTTCTGTTTTATTCCTAAATTGTAGGTCACAACTAAGATTCCCTCTAAGCTGAACACTCTCAGAAGAAAATCTATGCAGCACATAAAACAAAACTGTAAATCAATTAGACCAATAACATTTTCATCTGTATCATTTTGAATCTGTGCATCATTCGTGTTTCAACTTAAAACCAACAATCAGTATTCAACAAACAAAAACAGAAAAACCTTTAGAAATGACTACAATATTTTTTGGGGGAAATGTAATCCATTCATTCCTTTATTTTAAGAATCACAGAGTGGATCTCTAAATTTAGATGACGCTTTGCCACATAACAAAATGAAACAGTCATAAATTATAAATGGAACTGATGACGATAATACCCTGGATCCAGTAGTCTGTCAATGCGCTCTCTTGGCAACAGCTTCCCTCGAGATGTATGAAGTTTTCTTGCCTTTTCTCCTCCACCTTTAGTGATAAATATATATGAAAAAAACTTGGATTGTTAGTTCTTTTTTAAGCATCTTTTTTCATCAACAAATCCAAAGTTGTCTTGGTATGGCACAGGCTGTTCACTCCATTGAGGGTATAGCAGAATCAGTCAGAACAAATGTAACTGAACACGTGAACTTTTCAATATCTGGTATTGACACAGATCTATGATGGAGTATTAGGGGCACATACTATTTTGAGAGAATAAAGGGATAAAGCTACTAATATAACGAGAAAAAACTAAGAGTAAAATATATCACAATTTGTGAGACAGAAGTCAATACACAATTAAAACAGAATAAAGTCAAACATCAGGAGAATAGTCATTCAGTCGTTTGCAGAAGCATTGCAGAGTCCTGAAAATTTTCCACAACGGAGTCTTAGGGCCAGGCTATAATTATTTTTCTTTAAATGAAGAGATAGGTCATAACATCAGGTGAATAAAGCCAAAAGGAAATCACAATAAAAGCATTTATTATAAAATAAATGTTAATACTACAATTATAAGTGTAGAATAAGATTAAAGTCCCTCTAATATTGAATAAATATCCCTGAGTCTAACAGCAAATCAGCCACATCCAATGTAGCGAACACCAACTTGTCGCAGCATAAGGCTGGCCCATCCAATGATGGGTCTACATATTAAAGGAATAGTACACCCAAAACATGATTAGCCTTAATTTTCTACTCACCCCCATGCTGAACAACACTCTGGAGTACTTTTTTGATATCTCAAATGCATCTGGAGATCTGGGAGGCTTCTTGCTGTCTGCTGACATTCAAATAATGGAGGTCTATGGTGCCCGAGACAGAAAGGTCCATAAAAGTCCACAAAAAACGTGTCAATATTCCTCCATACTGCTCGTCCAATGTATTCCAAGTGTCCTGAGTGGGTAGCATCCAGAATTTACTCGAAACGAAGTCATTTAGAATGTTTTTAGAGCATAAACAGTAGTGTATAGGATTTCCTGAAAGCGCGCACATGCGCGTTCACGACGCTACGGAAGCCGGCAGACCAAACCAGATGAAAGTGCGCATTCAGCGTCTGCTCTGTCAATAATGCAAGCGTAGAAGACCAAATGTTCTGTTTACCTGTGCAAAGAAAGAAACAACGAAAGAAAAATGTCTGAGGACTTCAGTGTTGAGGAAGAGCATGAGTTCTTTGCCGAGCTGAATGCGTTGGTTTGGTCTGCCGGCTTCCGTAGCGTCGTGAACGTGCGCACTTTAAGGAAATCCTATACACTACTGTTTATCCTCTAAAAACATTCTAAATGACTTCGTTTCGAGTAAATTCTGGATGCTACCCAGAATACATTGGACGAGCAGTATGGAGGAATATTGACACGTTTTTTGTGGACTTTTATGGACCTTTCTGCCTCGGGCACCATAGACCTCCATTATTTGAATGTCAGCAGACAGCAAGAAGCCTCCCAGATCTCCAGATGCATTTGAGATATCAAAAAAGTACTCCAGAGTGTTGTTCAGCATGGGGGTGAGTAGAAAATGAAGGCTAATCATGTTTTGGGTGTACTATTCCTTTAATGTCTATGGAGTCTAAAGGTGCCTTAGGGTCATTGCCCTGCTGGGGGAACAACATTCTCCAATCAAGTGCTGTTCACAAGATATTCAGTAAGGTTTCCATTCCTTGGAAAACAAAACACATTTTAAGTTATTCCAAATTTTGTAGCTTAGTGCTGTATAATGAGGTTTATCTTCCCTAGCAAAAAAAAAAGTAGCACAAGTTAAGGTTTAATATTGACCTCCTTTATCTTCTTTTTCTGGTTCCGACACTTACCCAACTTGATCTTCTCTGTTCGGCTCCTCAATTCATCAACCAAAACCTTCATTCGCTCATAATTTTCCTGCAAAACAATTGATTTTTAGTATAACTTTCTGGTGAGTAAAGCTTCGAAAACGGAATATAATCTAATCAAAATGCTTGTCCATATAAATTATAGAAAAACTACTGCATAGTGAAATTACTAAGCACAACTCATGGTTGAAAATGGTTGCTTTCATAAATGAACTATTTGACACAGAATTTCAAAAATAAAAAAATTCTGAAAAAGGTGTTAATGAGGGAGCTTTACATGCAGTGTATGAGCATATTTGATCCTGAGGAAAATCAAAATACCAAGGATCTAGACACAAGTATAACATATGATACAGAATTACTTGATGAATGTTTATTAATATGGGGTTCCATTAGTGCCAAAAATATGTTTAAGTGTCAATGTATATGTTCTAAAGTATGCCTTATTTGTTTATGTCTATGTAATGTATATGTGCACATGGTTTTGCAAGGTATTTATCTTTGAATGTCTAACCTCATTTTACATAAATGTCTAAACACAACACAGTATTATGAAGACAGTGAAAAGTAAAAAAAAATAAACTAAGAAATCAATTTCACCTAATAACTGCAAAGAAAATTATGCGACACTACCTAAAAACAGGCAAACTAAGCTATCAGATACAAAAAGACATGGGAAGTTGGAATTGCTGCCAAAGGTGGATTGGGTCAACAAAGCATTTAAAGTGAATAAAACTGGGGAAAGGAGGTTAATTATTTAACTTATGCATCTAACATACATCTAGCAAACAAACCACCTTACTAAGACATAAGCACATAACATATGGAAACATTAATTGTTCCCGATTTGTTTAACTGTTCACTCTAAAGCGGAATCTGTAAATTATGGGAGTCATATTAGTCACTTCTAAACTTCTTAGGGGGCTGCAAAAGGGGTTTCTGACCTCTAACATTCCCTCTATGCAATATGTTACAGACCATAAACTAATTGGTCGCAGTTTTGCAGATGTGTAAACATTACTGCGACTCATCTGTGGTGTCCTCTGTTAAGTTACCTTCTAATCAGGTTGAACTATGACTTTACGTTGTTACTATAGTCAGGCTAGCAGGCTTTAGCATTAGCCTAACCCACCTGGTACTCAGGCGACTGTTTATCAGGTTGGGAGCCGAGCCGAGCGACGCTGTCTGCGTAGTATGTTCGAGCGCAAGACAGCGGTAATACTCTGCATCGAAGTAGCCAGGGTCTTACGGACTGTAGAAGCATTTTAAAAACTCACAAATATGTTTAATTATAGGTTTGCAGTCGTGCTAACCAGCTAGCTTTAATGGGAGCTTTTTTTCTTCTACGGTTGCTATCACTCTCATTAGAGACGCTCTACGTCGCCACCTGTTGGTCATAAAAAAAAACACATCAAAATGATTTCTTTATAAGTATCTCAAGAGGGGTCTTTTCCTGTCTGTGATAGAATAACAATAATACAATATGATAACTAAAAACAATGTTAATTAAATATTGCTTAATCCGAGCCGATACGTGATTGTTTTTTACCAGTAGAAGTGTTCATTTATTTAATCTCTACAGCAAATTGCCCAGAATATTTTTCTTTATTTGCTTCTCATATTTCTTCACTTACAGAAATGCTGATATAAAATTTTTAAAGGAAATGTCCAATTTCACAAGCTGTATCAAAAAATGTATGAATCAATCTTAAAGCCTACCTTTTTAGACTGCTTCAGAAATGAACAGGAAACATGATAAATTAACATTTCCCATTTTTTATTTTATTTTATTCTTTAGCAATAGCATCAATGCATTTTGAAAAAAAATATCATTAATTTAGATATGATTTTAAGACACACCTTTTTAAAAAAAGAAATACAACCAGTAATGGCACAATATAGGAGAATTAACATTAATAACTTTGTGTTACACACCTATCTAGACTGGCCCTGGCTGCTCTCTAAGGCTCTTTTCTCTATATGGTCACCATATATTTTTTTTTTGTTTGTTTGTTTATTTAATTATTTATTTATTTATTTTGAGAAAACTGATTCTTTGTGTAGGAAAACATTTCAGGCTTTATTTTGCCGTGCCTAAAGACCCAGTGCTGCCCATGTTTCATTTTCTGACATAGCTCATCTTATTGTTCTTAAAATTTCCTGATACCTGACATTGTTTATGAAACCCTCCTCCAGCACAACCACCTGTCCATTAATTACCTAGTGTGATTTGGGTAAGCTCAAACAGAAAAATGTCAAAAATAAACAGAACAGTAACAATCAAAATAACATAACACTTCTGTACAGCATCTGATCTTAATGTTGGGTTCTGATATACATATTCAACCTTTTTAACCCTGGTTAACATTTCAAGTGGTTAAAATCATGCCCTGTTCCAAAACCTAAGACATGTTACCGTCGGGCTGGCCCAAAGCAACCTCAGACCTGTTAGCCTAATACAACATATAAAAGTCCTAGATTGACTACTGTTGGTCTCAATGAGCAAGTAAAAAAATGGACTCAAACCTGATCTACAGAAGAAAAAAAAAAGTCACTTGTACTTTTTTATTTTCACCTTCTAGCCTCTAGGTACCTTATTACAGGACGATAGGATACAAATTACCTATTTTGTTGTCATGCAGCAATGTCTGTTCCCAGAACTCCTCCAAAAGACCTCCAGTTTCCCTGGATTAATGAAATACCATTGAACTGAGAACTTTATAGTTTCATTTTTTGAACCATTTGTTGTTGGAGGGGAGTGCAGCTTGCACTGTAGGCTCAGTGCTCTTGCTATGCTGTGGAGAGTTTATACTCAGAGAATCACAGACCAATGCTACCACCAAGTGTATTAAACACTGCACTACAACTGAGCTGATATGAATTACCCATCCATCCTTTGCTAATGTCTCCTTTATCCTTGCAGTGTTGACAACGCCTACCTTCAGCAATAACTGGGAAGGGGATGGGATCCACAGGGGACTGATAAACGTTCCATCACAGAGCACCACAGAACAAACATACACACATGCACACATTTGAAATCAAAGGGATTTAGGTATTTACAAAGACTAACACTCATATTTTATTTTAGAAAAGAACAAGAACCCATGAATCCACAAGGAGGACATGTAATCTCTGCAGAAAGATGCCAGACTGGAATTCCAATACAGGATAATACTGCTGCAAGGCAATAGTTCATACAATTGTTTCAATTAATATGTAATAATTCATAAAATAATACCATAACTCTTTTGTCAAAAATCAGAAATGCAAAAATGCTAATTTATTATCAATGTTTGATAAACTTTGACAGGGTTAGGAAAGCTGTCACTTGGTTTTCAATTAAATGCAATATTTTCTAAAGAGGTGAAGATGCTGCTATTTTTCTTGGGTTAAGAAATTTATGGCAGCACATTCGCTTTTTTCATCCCAATCTCTTGATTTAGCCTGACCTTAACCCTTTAACAAAGAAGCCGGCTGGTTTTAGACTACAATTGTTATTAAATATGGTGTATTATATTTCATTTTGGTATGACAGGTAGTTTTTCACTAGTTTACATCATGTTTCCTTTAGAGTTGCAATAATTATTTCATCTCTTTTTCAGCATAACTACAATGCCAGTACTCTAAAATTTGAAACATTTTAGAAATATTTTTCACATCATGCTTTAGAAGCTCTCACTACACACAAAAAAGGTAATTTTCTTGTTTTGAAAAGAGGAACTAAAGCTGGATTTAAGTGGGAATCTGAGTTGTCCTAAAAGCTTGGTAAAAAAAAAAAATCATCTCTTCTGACCCGAGTGCTTTATTTGAACTGAAGTACATTCGACAGAGTGCAGCCTGAAGAGCATTCAAACCAAGAGCTTTTAGTTTATTTGGCTTTAAGAGGCCTCTCTCCTCCAACACTCCCACCTGTTTCACTGGCATGCATAGAAATGTCCGTGACCTCCACTCAAATGGCTGCTCCTGTTTTCTTAGGGAATATCCAATCCTCCACTCTCTGTGCGAACTTAAACCCTCTCACTCATCCAGCTCTCTGTACTTTTTTTTATCACCTCTGATCCCTTCACAGCAGTGGCCGTGGAGTGACTGAATAGATGTAGCTGCACAAAAAGCCTCTTTATTTAGAAATAGATGGTTATCTTAAATAGTTAAATAAATCAGAGTTATAAGAAATCAATTGGAAAGCACAAATAGACAGCACATAATACATGTCCCTTTATTTGACATTGAATACAGAAAGTGCTAAGGTAACGTTGTGTGGAACTGTCACTTCCTTATGCATGTGGGTGCTGGTGTTTCTTTTATATGTTTAACTATCTGTTTTTCTAAATAATTATTTTGTTATTATAGCTAATATATTGGATAGTACATCGGTTTTATATAGTAGGAGTTCCCAAGTTAGCATGAACATTTGGAAATGTAGCATGCAACTTTGCTTTAATTAAAAATGAAAAAAGAGACAAATGCATATGATGGATGAAAAAATTGTAAAACTTAAAAAAAATATCTGCTTTTTGGGGAATAAGAATCCCAACTCTTACAAAGTAAGTTTAGATTATCAGGTAAACTGCTTATATGAAAGACAGTAATTTAATATTTTTCAATTTATAAATTTACATTGCCATTAGACAATAATTGTAAAGCATTTTAAAAATATTGTAAAGTGTAATTTTTTAAAAACTTGCTTTAAAAAGAAAAACATAAAAAAAAATAGTGCAATCAAAATAAAGCCTGATTGTTCAGACATTTATTAGGTTTACAGATTTTCAACATAGTTGATTCATTCAAGTGGCATTTGAGTATCAAGTGGGTCAGTGGCCTCCAGTCAACCAATGGGTGTATTTTGTTCTCTGCTTCCTGCTTGTGCTGACTGCAATAATACAGATGTTTGAGGCAGTACTGCATGTTTATAGTCTGGTTACCTAGTAGTCCTTCTGGGCTCTTTTTAGTTATGTTTTCCTGGTAATTATTTTTATATGAAGCGGTAGGTGATGCAGCAATTCTGCTGCAACCATTGCTAGAAATGCAAAGTAATTTTACTATTTAAATGGGGCTGCACAGTTGATGCAGTGCGTAGCACTGTTGCCTTGCAGCAAAAAGGTTCCGGGTTCAATTCCCAGCTCGGGATCTTTCTGCATGGAGTTTGCATGTTTTCCCCGTGCATGCGTGGGTTCTCTCCGGGTACTCCTGCTTCCTCCCACAGTCCAAAATCATGACTGTTAGGTTAATTGGCTTCTCTACAGTCCTGCCTCTCACCCACTGACAGCTGGCACCAGCACCCCTCACGACCCCAGCAGAAATAAGTGTAACAGAAAAATTTATGGACAATTTCTTAACAAAATAACTAGTCTCAAATGATCACTGATGAGCTTGATTGAGTAATATGATCAATATGATCATTTCAGTCTCCCTTAGCCCTCTTTTGTTTTGATGGGCTTAACTGTTGCCAAATTTCTATGAAATTTTTGAGACATTCTCAGTATGGCAGACAGACATGAACACTTTTTAGGAATTTGATTTCAAACATACCAAAAGGCAATATAGAAGAAAACACAAATTGATATCTTTTAAAAAATACCCTTCCCTAATATAGTACTAACTTAGAAGCTTGTGTAATGTTGTTATTAAGAGATGGAGAGAAAGAGACCTCGACTTAGGTGGCAAGTTATTCCTAGGGTATGAATGGCTCAACAAGTAAACTCCACCAAAATGTTTTCAGTGTATAAAAAATCAACATGGTAAAAGCATGTAATGCTTCACTAAATAACTGACTAATTATTAACCCATTAAAGTGCTCGATAACTGTATAGAAGAAATCAATGCACATATTTGACCAATTTTTCTTAGCTGAATTGAAACATAAATTAATTACTTTTTTGAGTTAAAATAGGAGTATTCAATTTAACACACAGCTTCAATTAATACAGCCAGAATCACCAATCAGGCTTGCAATCTGGGTGTAGTGATGGACTTAACTTGAACATCCAGAGGCACATAAAGACAATAATGGTGTCCTCCTTCTACCACCTAAAGAACATCGGCAGGATGAAAAGACTAATGTCTCAGCGGGATCTTTAAGATAAAATTCATGCCATCATCTGTATTAAAAATGATTTCTGTACCTGTGTCTTCACACGTCTGACTAAAAAGTAAATCAAAAGCAGCTGATCAAGAATGCTGCTCACATTCTCACCGAAGCTAAGGAAGTTTAACACATCACAGCAGTTTTAAAGTATCTCAGGGAATAGATTAAAATACCCTTATTAGTCCAAAACCACTGAATGGCTTAGCACCAAAATACATTACAGAGCTAAAAATATTATTTAATATAACATTCCTTTAATTAACTCCCAGAAATAT